GCAGACTTAGGACCACTTGCCAGTGGGGGATCCTCTGTCAAGTGCTGTGGGCCTTTACCAACACAGAGCACACTGCATTGATTTAGGGGCCCCAACCAGTGCAACAGGCCTTTTGAGTAACATTTGCGAGCCCCAGCCTTGCCCCTGTTTGGGAAATGGGCCCTGAGGGACTGATCAGTAGCGCAGGCAGGGGAAACAAGGGCACGCCCTCCTTAGGGCCCAATTATGGGCACAAAAGGCCGGCTGGAGGTCGTATTTAGGGGCCCGGCCCATTGCGCCGCGCACTCCATTTGTCGGTCAGTATCGCATAGTTAGCTCTGTGTCGGTGTGGGCCTGAGGGCCCACTTCCCAATCAGCTATAAAGCCGGGCCCAGCGATTTACACAAATTGGAACCCTTGCATCTGTTGAGAGCCCACAGTGTCTAACCAAGAGTCCTGTGTTCGCAAGGGGCCGCGAGCCGACCAAGGACAGTGCTCGATGATGCCTGAAGAGGGCCCGGGCGGCCCACGGGCACACGGATCAACGGCTCGATTGGAGGAAATAAGGGCCCGAAGGACTGGCTGTTGATCACAAAGGATCGCAGCCCACACGGTCGAGCCCTGGTTGTAGCCTCTGTGCCAGTCAGGGATCCATAGTGCCTAACAGGGGGTATCGGTTAGTGGCCCCGAGTTGGTCACGGCCTTGAGGAGGTCTAGAGAGGGGCCGAAGGGCCTCTCGGGATCAAACATCATGACCCGATTTGATGACCTTTTGTCCTCTTGATTGGAGGCCTCGGGCACGAGGGACTGGCCGTATGTCACATTAATAATGCCCTTCCGCCCGTAAGGCTGTGACCTCAAATATCAATCAGATGGCTTCTTGCATCGATTCGAAACCCCTGGGCCAGTGCGGCCCTATATTTCGGCAAGAGTTTATTACCAACACCGAACAGCCGGCTAAGTCAGTCTGAGAAATGTGGGTCCATTTCCCAAGCACGAGCAAGGTCGGGCCCGCGATTTGCGTTAGTTGGGTCCACTGAAACCATAAGGGCGCCGGTCCGGAGCCTACAGTGCCTAATAACGAGTCTGTGTCGGCAAGTGGCCCGAGTCGCCAGGAGTCATGATTTTGGGGACCCGAAAAGGGGCCCGAAGGACCCCCGGAACCAAATATTAAGGGCCCGATTGAAATCGAGTCCGGCCCTTCACCCTTGGTGCGGTGATCTGAAACGTCACTCAGAGGGCCTCTATAAGGGCCCTCTTGTTAGGCTTTTCCATCCCTTTAATACAAGGTGTCGCCACGGAGCGAAACAGTCGGCTCCATGTCCGTCTGAGCCCTCAGGGTTCATCTCTCAAGCAGTAGCGAGGCTGGGGCCTGCGATTTGTAATCTTCGGGGTCCCTGACACAATGGGCAACTCCTGTGTCGGTCAGGGGCTCAGTGCCTCCCGCCCAGGTCCAACCCCACGTCGCCAGAATAGCAGACGGAAGAAACCCCGCGGTGGAACGGGATGGCCTCTCAGCCGTTGACCAGGAACAATAATATTGCCTTAGTGTTCTTCTCAAGCCCTTTGCCCGAAAAAAAGAGTCTCAGTGTTAGAGTGGGTCGAAATTAGTTCAAAAACGGACAAGGCCATCCCATGTCTGCATGAAAACCTTCATTATTTTGCAAAAGCGATTGAAGATGAACCAAATCGCATCCAATGTCCACCTGGGTGTAGGAACGGACGGGCCAGGGGGCCATGCCCACCCACTCCCCCTTTCAAGGTGGGGAGGGCAGCAGTGTTAAATGCCCCCCCCCCCCACTTTTCAGATTAAGGTTGTGTTTAGCTTACTTTTGTGCTACATTAAACATACATGCCAATTTACATATTTCACCAGCCATCTTCCTCAAGATGCATCATCTTTTTCGTTTGCTCATTGGCCATCGTTAGTATCACAGCCACAAGGCTAACCATTTTGATGCACATTTGGGACTCCCTTTCATTTACACTCTACGTTCAGGGGTCCTCAGCATCTCTGAAGAACACAGAAAAGGCATGGAACTGGAGTCTATGCGACAATAATTGGACCACCTGTGTCGACCAGGGAAGTTGCTGCGCCAGTGACCGTTCCTGTGCAGATCCGGGGCCGACTGCGCTGCTGCGTCAGTGACCGTTCCTGTGCAGATCCGGGGCCGACTGCGCGAGTCAGAAGGCCTCCCGTGTCAGGGAGGGCGTGTCAGGGAGGGGAGCAATGGGATATGATAAATAATTATAATGGCCTCCGAATCGACCAGGAGATCCTGCCCCGTATCGCCAGAATGACAGCCAGGGGACATTTCGCGATGGGACGGAATGGCCCTTCGGCCCTTCACCGAAAACGACAATGTGCCTCTGGTGTTTTACTCAAGGGGCCCCTTGCTTAGAAGGAAATAAGGGGTCTCATTATTGCTGAGTAGAGCGGGGGTCTCCTTATTGGTGAATAAAGCGGGTCAAAATAGGTTTTAAAACAACGAACAAGGCCACCACAAGGTTTGCCTGAGCACGTTTATTTTTTCAGAATGGATTGGTGAAACAAATTACTTTAAAAGGTGCGAACATGCTCACCCGCAACCTCGAGAACAAGGACAACGATGGCCTGGGCTACAGCTTCCGTATAACCGAACGGCTTCGGCCACTGCAAGTGCCACCAGACGGCGGGCGCCGTGTTAAGCTGTCTTCTGGACGGATTGATAGGCACAGAAACACTAGAAATAAAAAATTACATTTACTCTTTCAGTCCAACCACCAGATTCTAGCCACACTTCGCGGTGCTTTAAGGACCAATCCGTTCTTATCATCAGTCTAAAAATCGCACATGTGAAATATGCGCCCAAACTGCGCTCTAACTGTAAGATTTGATGTCATGAAGCGCCCAAAGATACTTCTTGCATAAGTGTTATCATTTTCGTCCACCCACGGCCACATCTTAGTATTAGCTTCTGGACCTACGCCACGCGACCTGCGGAGACTGCAACGCCTGGAGTCGGGGTTTTTGTTGCTAGGAGGACGCATGTTGCCGCATTACATAATTTGCATCATGAATCAATTCTGACCGAATGGTGAACATTTCCAGACAAACATGGCTTGGTCATGTTGATACGCATCGTTAACCATTCCGTCTGCAATCAAGTTTGCATCTTCAAACTTGGATCAAACATATCGATCTAATTTACGTTCGCGATGTCCTTAATGTCTTTGGAATATCTGTTTAGAAAGAGTCCACTAAACCACTGTAAATTAAGGGTGCCGGTGATTTGTTCCATGCGGTCGTTCAGCGCCTAATTTCTGCAGTTTATTGACTTCAAAATACAAAAAGAAATTATCTGACGGTGTCGTCTGGCTTCTATTCTGGTTACAAGGAAAAAATAAAAATAAAACAAAGACAACTGTGTCCCTTGATAACAAGCAAGCTATGATCGGGGATTTGTTTCGGGTGTCACTATAAAAGGGGCTTTTGTCCACCGTGTTTCCCTTTGGCGAGGCTTTGGCTACACTACACTCAAAAACAAATTGAGTCGTCTACGTTGAGTGATGGGCAATGAATTGTTGGTTGGGTGAATTCGTACCTAAGGCAGGCAGCTTCCCGGAGCAAAGCTAGCATTTTTCTGCGGTGGTGTGGTGTAAGAGAAGATAATTCGGAAAAAGGTACTGCTGCAAGTGCCCAGCATATGTTTCACATATCAGTTAGTAGTAACGCTGATCCATAAATATGCAACAGAGCAATCATACGATCATTTTGCAGTCATACGGGAGACAGCCGGGCCAGGGCAGTGGCCTCCGAAGGCGGACTGGAGCAGGGCCCAAGTAAGGAACGTATGACAGACAGGCCTTCATTATGCGGCTCGGTTTTTGAAAGAGAGTCTCCACTTTTATGGCTTTGCCACCTTGTTTTTGGCAATTTCAAGCTTCCGAATTTGTTTCCGCCTAAAATGCGACAAGTTTTATCTCTTGAAAAGCAGCCAATGAAATGAAGATGCATGAAAAATCGGCCGCACTGTGAGCTATGGATTCACCTCTCACCAGCCTGTGAACGGGTCGTATTTTTTGTATCTACCCTGTGGAGGCAGATGCCTACTCAATGACCCAAAATGCCTACCTGCTTGTGCAATTTCGCACCCAGGAAAGACAATGTCAAAATGGACAAATAATCCTAGGAAGCGTATAGCCTTACTTGCTAAATGACGTAGATGAGTCGAATAGACAAGATTGTGCAGCAGTGAGGAACAGCTCTAGATGCATATCTATTATAGCAGTCATGACATTCAAATAAAGAGCAATAACAAACTCGATCTTCCCCTCCGCTTCCCCCAGTCGTCGGGCTTGCTTTCCAGAAAAGTTTCTGAAGAACATCCCTAGCTTGGTCTCTCAACTTTTTGAAACGTTCCTAAGCATGTGAATGTCCATAATTTTCCAAATTCGGTCATTGTTACAAGAGGCCCTTATCCGGCTGCAGATGTCCGCTGACTGTCATTTCTTTAGTTCAAAGCGTTGCAGCGGAATCTCAAAATCGGAAATATTGATCCTGAGATTAGGCAGGTTTGCATAGTGGCAATATGGGATAACGAATTTTTGTTTGAGACAGGCAGAATAAAAACAAATGTTCGCTTTTTTGCAGCCACGATCTCTTCTACGTGAGGCTTAACCCACTTCGCACAACTTCTGCAATGGTGTTCGTCTGCGTTCTATGAACGCTGTTTTGATGACGTTTTATTTATTCGTTTTCATATTGCTTAGGCCTTTTCAATCCAAACCAATATCAATTCGATTTATACACATAAGTTTATCTATTAAACTCTGTTCCAAAGCCTTACTAACAATATTATTGCTATTTTCATAGCATAAGACAAAAGCATGATTCATCCCGCAACATACGGGACACTGGCAATGAGACGTGTATAACTGAAAGTTTGTAAACAATAAACATCTGGGTCGGGGTTCGCGAGGCGGGGTGAGATTGTAACGTCGTGACAGCTGGGGTGTTTATCGGCTGCCGGGTTGGTGGGAGTGCGCTGCACAAGCTTGTTTTACTGTGCCCGTGCGGCCGGTGGCTTGATTTTAGTTGTGCATTGTGGTGCTTAGTTAACGTAGGCCTGTTTACAACGAGCGGGTTTATCTTGATTGAAGGAGTGGCGTCTGGCCAGCGCTTTTCCCCCTCTGGCCACATTTCCTCTGGTCTTGGGTGGCACATATGTAAGTGGGTTCTTACAGGCTGCACCTATAGGTAAAGGGTGCTTTGTTAAAAGTGACATACTTTGGCATCTTGACATCCATGTGAGTCTCCTTATAATGGTTTCAAAGTCCTTAAGTTGTAAACACATTACCATTGGCACTATCTAATCCCAAAAGGAAGAACCATGGTGTTTGGAGCTGCCTATCAGCTAGTCTGTAAAATTTCATTTACTGTGCTGGACAACCACACCATATTGGTGCACCTCTGTATCTGACTAATGTGTACACTGCTCAAGCCAGGCCATGTTCTGTTGAATTTTTGAAACATAGTTTGGTTTCAGAAAGGTGTTCGAGCAGTTCTGTTCAGATCTACCTTTGCGAAATAATACCTTTTTGGTACAGCTGCCAATGGGCTGAAATTGATGTTGAACATCTTCCAAACTGAGTGCCCAGGTGGTGCATGCACTGGAATGGTTGCTGTGACATTGCTGCTATATCATATGTTCAGTAAAAGGTGTGTGTAGATGTATTATGTTTTAAAGGCATTTTTATTAGTACTCTGACCCCATGAGAATGTGGGCAGCACTATTTAGGAATGTGTGCTTGTAAACTTAAGAAAGCTCTCCAAAGCTTCTGTTTTGCCCCACCCATGCCCTAATAAGCAAATGTAGGATTTGTCACATCTTCCAGACTGGTTTTAGGCTAGATAAAATATGTAGAGAGGAAAATAGGCATTGTGCAAGACCATTGAACTGCTAGGTATTGAATACTCAATTGGAATTTTTTTTATAATTTTATCAAATGAAAATAGGAGGTACTCTTAGTGTAACATTACAGTATTATTGCTAAGAAATACAAGTTGAGTATTATGTCCCTTGAAAATATATGGCCCATTTGATAGCAGTCATATCTATATTTACTCATATAGTCAGTGACTTTGCAATGTCAGATCCATCACAACAAGCAATGGTATGTCAGTTGATATCATTTGTTTTTTTACATTAGAGCTGAAACACACAAATGAATAGAACACATTATATACTGATATGTAGTGTCCTATTGCAGGTTCTGAATCCGCATTTTCACTTCATCTAAATTGGTTGTTATTTCAAACAAGATCACTCAAAGGAAGGCAGCAAAAAGGTTTGTTATGTAATCTTAGTGATGTGGTAATGTCTATTAAGTAATGTATTGATTGGGAAAATTTTAGCTCTTAGTGGCAATTTTCTGTTGGTTTTCTAATCTCTAAAAGGAAATATCGAGAGTAAAAATTTGATCCGCCTGAGAAGGCATGTTTTTTATCTTGGTTAGGAACAGTGGAATTATAAGTCATGCTAATCTGTCAGTTTGTCCTCATAGACTATTGTTGAAATGCTTATATCAGTGTTTTTGCTGGTCAGATGAGAAGCCATCTAATGATGCAGCTCTTAGTACCAAAATGTTTCCTGATTGAGGCTGACCACTGATCAATTCTGTTCCAGATGGCTGATGGATATGACCCCTGTGCTTGTATCTGGGATCATGGCATGGCCATGAGGCGCCTCATCTCTCTGGTAGGCATTTTGTGAGCGGTATAAATCACAATTTTATCACAATCTTAATATCATGCGACCTCTGTCAATTTCAATGCTTTTTCCAGAAAACATTATTAGATGATCATTGCACAAGACTCCAGGTCAAATGCGTGCAACTGAAAGTCAGATGTGCCTGCTTAAAATTCTGATCTCATGACATAAAGCTCAATGCTTTATCATATGCAGCTCTCTAGTCTCACATTCTACATGATAGCAAAATGTTTCAGAATTTGCATAGGATACTGGGGAAGACCTGGTGTTTGGTTAATGTGACTGGCATTTTACCTTATATTTTTTGACATTATACCAAAGAGTCCTGAAATGTTTACATTTATGGGTGTGCTCATAGCTGCTAATGGTGGCACTTGATCTTTGTAAATGCCTCACCTTCTGCACACCAGTTCATAATAGATTTTTGGCCTGTTTTTTGGAGAGAAAAGATGGTAAATTAGGAACACTGCTTTATCAAAGTGATTATATATGTTTTATTGAAAGTGTACTTTCTGTTTTTCAGCTACGTGGCATGCAAGGATTCTGCACAGATAGTGAATGCTTTGGTGAATGTGAGTAATAACCTTGCCCTTGAGATATATGGCCTGTGGCCTGTGGCAGGCTGGCTTCAGGTCACATGACATCAGAGGGCAGGATGGACTGTGTGGAGCATTATGGTACATTGAACTTTCATCCCCAGATTTTGTCACTGGCTTGAAGCACAACCGCATAATGGGGTGAGGCCTTACGCAACAAGTTCTGCTTAGTGTGAGCTCTGATCCTAGAAATCCATTCATCCAAAAGATTCAGAATGCATCATAGAAAATATAACTAGCTTCTCAACAAGGCAGCATCACCAAATTTGTTCTTATGCTCTGGATAGCATGCACATCTCAGGTATGGTATCATGTTCAGCTTAGAGTTATTTGCTAACACAGTGTTCTTTACCTTGGCTGTTTTGTATGTAACACATCTACCCTGGAAGCTGAAAGCCTTTTACTGTCATTACTGTTAGACACTTGTTTGCCACATTTGCATTTTGTTGGCAGTTTTATGTATTAGATTATGACACCTGGCTGCTGTTGTACAGAGTCAGGCTCCTATGGATTCATTGTTTGCTTCTTTGGGGCTGCTCATGCAGTTGAGCAGGCTAATTTTATGTAAGAAGCCTGCTGGCAACCTCTTTGTTAATCATGTAGAACTTATGTTACTGACATGTGCCATTGGAGGATGTGCACCTGTTTTTCACAATGGCATTTAAGTTATTTTTCTGGAATGGTCCTGCTGTCAGAGTTGTGTCATTTCAAGGTCAATGTGCATAGGTGAGGATCAGGATGCCTACATGAACTGTGTGCACTGAATGGTATGATTGCAAACATCATTCACAGTTAGCTAACATACTGATGTGAATTCAGTGTTTTGCATAGATTACCCACATTTTAGTATTGCTGTTCAATCAATCTGTTTGGAGCATGCTCTTTTGGCCTCTTTCCATGTCCCGATTGAACACAGTAAGCGCTGCGCCCGCCCCTGGTACCCTATCCGATGATGCCGCTCTCGGCACGGGAGAGCAGTATCGTTCTGACCCGAGGTCGTTTGTCCAACAGTACCGGGCCCGACGGCGGACAGCTCTGGCGGCAATGACATGATGATGATGGCAGTGGTGTGGGTGGTGCTTGGCGTGCTGCTGTACCTGTTCCGACCCAGCTCGATGCGCAACCGGGGCGACGGCAAGCCCGACAGACTGGTGAATAACACCAGCCACGGCCGGCGGGTCGGCTGGCTACGCGGCTGTCCCAGGTGGCACGCCCTCTGTGCACGGAGTGACGCTACGTCAAATGGAACGGACGCACGCGTCGTACTTTTTGTCCCAGTTGATCGTTGTGAAGGCGTCAGGACTAGCGGCACGACGACTGCCAGGGCTGGTTTCTGCCGAAGACTATTTTAGTAACGAGTTTGCTCCTCGGAAGTCGACAGGATTTTCACGGGATGTATAAGCTGCGATGGATTTGGGGTGGTCTTGACATGTACCATCAAGGGGTGTTTAGGTTCGCACGGAGGACCCTTGGTATTGTAGTGCTCGCGTTGATGTCCGTGCCGCCGATGCTGACGGTCTGCCCCTCTGTGACAGGACCAGGGCCCGGGCAATAACCCGCCGCCCACGAGCAACTAGCGCTCGCCCGTCACCCGGCCCGCCGCTGACCACCTCTCCTGTGATAACCGGCCGTCTCGGCGCCGGCGGCCGGACACCGCCCGTCTCGACCCCACTCACCTCGGGGAGCTGTCCGCGATCGCCGCGTCCGGCCGCTCCGCCTCTGCGGCGCCCGCCATACCGCCACGCCGCGTCTGGCGCGCCCCGGCAACGGCTGGTACAGCGTTACCTCTCGCAGCGCTGCCGGCCCCTGGTGCTCGACGGAAGACGTCCTGCGGCTCCATAGCCAAGGCGCCGCCGTAGCGCGGAGGCAGACCCTCTGTTGGCGCCCCATGGGTGGAGCGGCTGACTTGCGCCAGGGAGGAGTGTCCCGGGACAGGATGTCCGCATCAGTATCGGGGCACGTCGGGCCCGCCCGCGCCGCCGGCGGGAAGGGGCGTTCGCTGACCCGAGCTGGCTCTGTCCCGTCGTCGTCGCACCGTTCTGATGTCTATTTTTGGGGTGTGTGCTCTGCGGTCTGGGTACGGCTTGGATTTGGTAATCGCTTTAAAGCTAAATCTTCCCGAACAGGAAGGTTGTCTTGCTGTGGGGAAATGGAATTGATGAGCACCCGTGGCTTATTCACTTGGTGCGATTAGGTTAACTTAATCATTAGAGGAAATTGATGGATACATTCCGGGCGGTTTCTGTGCATGCTACACGGCATATATACAGCTGAACAGACTTCACTGCTTCGCCTTTAAGGCTTCATAAGGGAGGCCTCGTTTTTGTCGCACAAGTCCATAAGTGTAGTACAAAAACCACACAGCACGTGATGACGCGTGTTTGGCGCCACGCCAAACAACATTAAAACTCAGGGAGCTAGCGATCGCGGCTGTCAATAGCAGACGCCCATACACGTGGACAGGCCATGGGAAGGAAATAATTGGACGATTCGTGTACACATATGTATCAGGGATGTGCATTCACTGCTATACCCCTATATGTGCCCAGGATGCCCAGTAACCCTCTTTTTTCCTTTCTAGACTTGTCCAGGTGTGTTAGTGTCTGCTATTGATAGCTGCGGTTACTAGCTCCTTGCGGTTTCCAGCTATGTTCGTCTCTTCAAACACGTGTCACCGAATGCTGTATAATGCTTTTTGTACTTGTGAATTTGTCCTGTAAAAACGAAGCCTTCTTGCTGAAAGCTTACTTATGGGTGAAAGCGTTGAGATCTGTTCTGTTAGTTAAATAACTAAAAGTTAGGTACCATACATACATATATATATATATATATATATATATATATATATATATATATCCAGATTTAAGAAATACACACGAGTACTTCTTGTTAATTGCGTGTCTTAACCGGGTCGCGTATCCTCGCGTAGAATCTACCGCGGTCGTGCGCGACTGTTGGGAGCTGCGCGTCTGTTCTGTTTGATTGGTAATATGATTTCGCCGTCGCCGTGTTTGTTCTGAGGTAGCGGACCGGATGCTGGGTTTGTCCGCTGTGGCGATGGGAGGCCGCATCGCATCGCACCCTGTGCAGTGCCGGGTGCGCTTGCGATCAATCATCCTGTTAGCGTTCCGTCGACACTACTGAATACACGGATATATACGGATCAGGAGCTGGTCTCTGCACCTGTCGGGCGTTCCGGGATCGCGCATGGCTGTGATGGGCGTTGCTGGAGGCTGAGTGCGCGTCTGGACGCTGTGGCCTCGGCAGCCCCGCACGGATGGGTCAACCCGCTCCGCGAGGTCGTCCATGGTGCCAACCGATCATCTTTGGAGGGGCTCCAAATCTCCGGCGTACATTTTTGTTTTGTGTGTGTAACGTTCGTAGAAAGTATTGGAGCGCTTGGTTTCCCTTTGACAATGCGGACATGATGTTCGTAGGTGGCACCTCCGCGCGGAAAGGTTTCTGCCGCTTGTTTTGCTTTTAACAGCCTCATACATGCATGGTGTCAAAACAGCACTTCGAAACATTGGTACCAAAACTGGCCACAAGGAAACCGAGGTTAATTGTATTATGCATCAGACATTCGTCCACCACCAGCGCAAAGTCCGCAACGGCCTCGACCGGGCACTTTCGGCATAACGCGCAGGAAATTCCGTACAGCACGTTACCGAGCCATAGGTTTCCCTCAACACGCGGTTAAGGATTTCCCTGCTTTGGTCTAAGTTGAGCTACGTCGGCTTCACACTTATTAGGATATGCTTAAAACCACTTTGAAAAGAAAACGAGGGGGGCAGCGAAAAAGGATACACACCTCTCCCAGTAGATAATTTAAACGCTAGCAAGGAACCAGTGTTGGCGCCTGAGTCAAAAACGAACGTGGTTGTTCTGAAACAGGCCACACTTTCCGTCCCTGGCTTCAGGCCAGCCGAGTCCGTCGAGCTCGTGCTATTGGCACACATGTTTGCAGCGGCCCGCGCGGTCCGGCCGCGCCGTACCGCACCGCCCCGCGCCGGCCTCCGCTCTGGTTGGTCGCCGCCGCTGACGTGGAGCGACCGGCGGCGGCCAGCGCATCAGGACTCGTCGCTGGCGCCACCTCAAAGTCGTTCGCTGAATGGCTGGCGGACTGACAACACAGGTCGGCAGGGACATCGACGCAATGGCCGGTGGGCAGCAAACAAGAGCAGGCTGGGTACTGTGCCCGCATTGGGTGTAGTCGTCGCTTTACTGCATAGTACGTGCGAGGGCAAAACACAAACTTACAAGCTTAAGAGGCTTAGGTGAAAGTCTAGCTAGTCGCTCGATTATTTCGTTCGTACACGAATGATTTTGCCCATGGTAAATTGAGTTTCAGTTCCGAATTCTCTGTGGGTCACGGAAAGCGCTGGCCGCAGACGTCCGGTTCCCGCCGTGGTGCTTCACTCGGAAGGAAGCGGACGGCCACCACACATGAGTTACTCCCACAGCCTGAGTTTTCATTCACCAAGCTTGGCGTGTTCGGAGAAAGCTGATGAGACCCACCGTGTGAGCTTCGGCTCAACACGAAATATTCGTCATGTCACATATGGGACGCGTTAATCTTGTTGGAACTATGCGATCTGAACACGACAGCAAAATAACATGGCTCATTCGCTGCACAAAGAACAATAGAATTGAACTCAGAATCCACGATAATTGACCCGCCTCCCGGCGTTACCTCTTCAGCTATGCATTGCTCGAAATAGCCGAGATGATATAACAACTAATAAGCAAGTTGCGGCCAAGGACACACCACTTGACAGAGCAAAGAATCAAAGACCGTTGAAGACGCTCGAACAAACGATACATTTGCCTCACAATCTGCTACGGTGATCCCGGTCAACACCAGTTGCGAGCCGGGAGAGCTTCTTGACAGCGGCGTGTCAGCCGTCTGACTCATCCGTACCGTGACCCCACCACCTGTTACGCCGACGCGGAAAACCCCCCGGTATCTGTGGCAGAGCGACCGTGCCCAAGGCCCGAAGCCGAAGGCGGGCGGCCGGCCACCGCGCCCACCTGACAGGTGAAGGCAAACTCGTTGGGCCGGCCGGATCAGACAGCCACAGGCGGGGCGTGACGCTTGCTGCTCGGGCGGCGGCCGCACAGGGCCGCCATCGACGGCTGGTGACGGCGTGCAAGACGACGTAAATGCCATGGTAGCTAGGTACCTGAGATACCTAAGGTCATTCAAGCGGTGAATCTCATGGTGACGTATCGTGCCATTTCAAATGCACATGCTGGCAGCGAACACTTGTTTGTCCACATGTCAGCCCGCCTGTGGCCGGTGTCCCGCTGTCGGACTGTCGGGACTCGGGCCAAGACGCCCTCAGCCGACAGCTATCACTTGGGAAGATACGGTCTATGGTCGGGACTCGGGCCACGACGCCTTCAGCCGACAGCTATCACTTGAGAAGATACGGTCTATGGTCGGGACTCGGGCCAAGACGCCCTCAGCCGACAGCTATCACTTGAGAAGATACGGTCTATGGTCGGGACTCAGGCCAAGACGCCTTCAGCTGACCGCTATCACTTGAGAAGATACGGTCTATGGTCGGGACTCGGGCCAAGACGCCCTCAGCCGACAGCTATCACTTGAGAAGATACGGTCTATGGTCGGGACTCGGGCCAAGACGCCTTCAGCTGACCGCTATCACTTGAGAAGATACGGTCTATGGTCGGGACTCGGGCCAAGACGCCCTCAGCCGACAGCTATCACTTGAGGAGATACGGTCTATGGTCGGGACTCAGGCCAAGACGCCTTCAGCTGACCGCTATCACTTGAGAAGATACGGTCTATGGTCGGGACTCGGGCCAAGACGCCTTCAGCTGACCGCTATCACTTGACAAGATACAAGCAGATGAGAGCCCTCCGGCCGCCATTCCATGCCACCCAGGAATGCAGCAGGAAGCAGACCGCGACGGCTGGCGCTGCACACTTCCGGCCCGGCTGGCCGGGACTGTCACACATCCCACGCGGCCCGTGGATCGGTGAACACCAAGGTCGAACGGATCGATGCGCGCGTGACCAAAGGCCACGCGCCAGCCCCGGACATCCGCCGCTGTTTGTTTTCCTTCGTTCCTTCTTAAAATGAGGCAAATGCCGTCGCTGGATAGGTGTGCTTAGGTGAGGCCGGAATTCGTGAGTGTATGATATATATATATATATATATATATATATATATATATAGATAGATAGATAGATAGGTAGATAGATAGATAGATAGATAGATAGAGTATATGATAGTACAGATATATGGACCTATGTGCACGCAACCTAGATCGCAACGAAGAGGAACATCTAGCGTACCTGAGCCAGACAGCCCCTCAAAGTCCGGACCAAGGAGTCACTTGTTGCTGGCCAATGCTTTTCTATTCACTTGGCGATGGAGCAGTGGATGCAGGGCATGATGACCTGCATTATTATCTTCAAGCGATAGTACTGTATATGAGCCTCAGCGTAGACTTATTGCGTACACTGACGCTAGCAGCCACGTTCTGCACAGCCAGCACGACACTTGCAAGGGGTAATCGACTCCCGGTAGGCTTTGCGCGATGGCGGACACCGCAAGGAACAGTCCCGACTCAAATGCTCCCGAAAACAATCATCCACCAGCATCCAATCGCCCGAACAAAGATTTTAGCGTCCGTGGTAAATTAAGAGAAAACTGAGCACGATAGTTTATTACAAAAATGCACACGAATAACAGCAGAGGCATGCATCTCTCATTCGTGAGCTATGACTGGTATTTTCACGATCAAAATACTTTCGTAATCGCTGTTTCGTGCCCGTTATCTAAAAGGTACAGTGGGGTGGCAGCTCACACACCCCGTAAACTAGTCACTTCATTGAGCCGCGCTTCAGCACTCACGAAATGCGAACGGCTAGATGTGATCGATGGAAGCAACGCCAAACGCCGGCTGCGCAGGCTGCGCACAAGCGACACTCGCACAGCTACAAGCAGCTTAAAAACATTAAAATTTCGCGCTGTTTTGTTAAAACAAACACTCTCAACACGACGCTAGAATCACACAAGATGTACTGTCAATTAGGTACTGAATTGTCTTGAACTGTGTACAATGCGCTCGCGCCATGTTTCCTCATCTTTAATTGCAGATCCGTATCCTTCCCCTACGCCACGTCTGTCGACTGTTCCGTCGCAGTGCTGCTCCTCCCAGCCGCTCCCGCCAGCGACAAACAGAGCCCGGCCACGCTGCCGGCCATACTGCCCACGGAGTTACCCGGCAGGGATGGACCAGTGATGGGCAGTCTGGTGTGGGACCAGCGGCCGGCGTTCTATGCTGGACAAATGCCTGTATGGGGCGGATGTATGTATGTCTGTCTGGCCCCCAACCAACGCCTGTACATCTGACTCTGGGTCAGTGTCTGCCATCGCGTCTGGTAATGGGGCGATGTCGGTCTGGCGTGCTGTTGGAGCAAAGCCTATTCGCCTGTGCTCTTCGGCACGGGACTGTCGCCTAGCCTCTCTGAGACCGCCAGACCGCTCTTCGGGGCGTATCGTCTCCCTGGCCTGTCCTCTCCTGGACTAGCGTTTGCTGACCAGCTGCTCGCGTACGCGCTTCATCAGGTTGCTCATGCGCTGCCAGGCGCCGGTGGCGCCCGGCAGGTTCTCGTACGGGATGTGCTCGGTGATGCCGGCCGCCCACTTGTCGGCGTCTGGCACGATCCAGGAAGCGGCGGCGGCCGGCGCCACCGGCGTGCCCAGCTCGCGGCGCCGCGACGTGCCCGGCTTCAGCTGCGCCGCCAGCGGCGTCGACTGGGCGGCAGGCGGCGGCGGCTGGTGCACCAGCGGCTCCTCCTCCGAGGCCGCGTCCGTCAGCAGCGAGTCCAGCAGTAGGCGGCGCTGCTCCTCCAGCGTCTCCAGCGACGGAGAGCCCTCCTGTAAGCGGCGCACGTCAGCTGAGCGGCTCACGACGGTGCACGGCTCTGGCCAGAGCGATGTCCCGTCATAGTGGACCGCTTATGTTTAAATGGATCCATAACGAGCTTTTGAGGGGATAAATGGCACAAGGCAATGGAAAACTACGTCATAATCGGCATGGTGGGCTCATGTGGACCAAAAAGACCCAGATCCCAATGACAGATCGTACGGCTGACGGATGGTAACACGTTTGATAGCAACAGATGTAAAGAGGCTTATCGCGCATAAGACGGCTCACTCAGAATGCTTCGCGGAAAACACGGTGGCAGAGTGTTTTCAAACATATTCAAAGCGCAGTATTACACTTGATAATGAACGTGGCCCTTTACCTGTTTCTAACGAATTCTACATAAGCTGTCGTATTGGATACTTAACATTGTACTGAGCACCAGGTGCTTAGTAAGAAGAGACCGCAGTATGTTTTAGCTACAAACACTGGTACGTAGCAGTGCCTAGTGTGCCGTCTTAACCACACACTTAAGCCATGTCCTGGTTTAAGAGTGTGGTTAAGATGAAACATGGCAATGGGTTGTACGCGACTGGGATGGCAAGAAACGTCCTACGAGCATATCGAACACAAAAAAAAAACAGGACGTCCATGCGTGGGATGAGGCCCCGAGCCCGAGCACAGGGTGGCGGCACCGCTAGCAGCCGCTCCGTGTACCCGGCTGCAGCTGAGCAGTGTCAGCATTGATCGCCCGCCCCGACGACGGATCACGCAAGCCCGCTGTGTGTGCCGGTAACCAACGACCGGACGCGCGGGCGCCGGGGCCCGCCGGCGACAGGCAGCGAGCTCCCACCACCCGCGCCATCGCACGGGACCCGCCGGCGGCGCACCTGCGAACGGCGCGGCCGATGGGCGGGCCGCGACGTGACGGTCGTCACACAGCACCTTTTTCACACAGGCAGGCTTGTGTGCCAGAAGAGCCACCGCCAATAGCACGTATTTCTAGCTACGAATGGCTCGCTCTTACATGGTATTGGCAGCGCGACAGGTTACGTCAAAACCATTAAAAACCTTCAACATTCTTGCAAAATACTTCGAAACATATCACGCCATAAACCTCGCTTAGAATCGCTGCTGTAATTCAATAGACAAACGCACAAGGACTGGCCAGAGCCAATACCGCTGTAGTAATGTGGTCAACTGGGTGGCCTTACGCATACTCGTTCGACAGTTGGGAGCCAAGCTGACGACAACAAAGGTAGTTACGCCGACGCTAAAAGAGCATACGGCTCTCACCGCTCACAAATTTGAGCTTGAATTCCAGGGTCTCAACATGAATAACTCGAATGCTGTATTTTTGTATCGAACTGCTTCTGAACTGTCTGAATGTAGGGTTTCCAATCTGTACAAAATTTCCAACAGCGATGTGAATTCTTGCCGAAAATCATTTATCATTGCATTGGCTTGGGTGGGTTTGGTGGGTTTTCTCGTGTTTAAGCACATTCTCTTCTTTAAACACTCCGGTGCAAAAGAACACCAGCCCAACAACAGACTGCCACAACCCATAACTGGTTCTGCATAGTCACATGGATTGTAAACAGCCCCAACCCGGCTGGTGTGTGCCCAGTGACCTACGATGCGCGGTTGGCCAACGAAACGTTGGCGCCGGCCGGCCACTCACCCTGGATGCCTCAGTGGTGCCGTCGTCGTCCGTTTCTGGCATGTCGCTGGTGGCCTGGGAGCCGTCTGAGAACATGCGGACACCGGCCACGTCAGGACAGCGACAGCGGGTGGCCGCACAGCCAATGTCACTCGTGGCCTGGGAGCCGTATGAGAACATGCGGACACCGGTCACGTCAGGACGGCGACAGTGGGTGGCCGCACAGCCAATGTCACTCGTGGCCTGGGAGCTGTCTGAGAACATGCGGACACCGGTCACGTCAGGACGGCGACAGTGGGTGGCCGCACAGCCAATGTCACTCGTGGCCTGGGAGCTGTCTGAGAACATGCGGACACCGGCCACGTCAGGACAGCGACAGTGGGTGGCCGCACAGCCAATGTCACTCGTGGCCTGGGAGCCGTATGAGAACATGCGGACACCGGTCACGTCAGGACAGCGACAGTGGGTGGCCGCACAGCCAATGTCACTCGTGGCCTGGGAGCTGTCTGAGAACATGCGGACACCGGTCACGTCAGGACGGCGACAGTGGGTGGCCGCACAGCCAATGTCACTCGTGGCCTGGGAGCCGTATGAGAACATGCGGACACCGGTCACGTCAGGACGGCGACAGCGGGTGGCCGCACAGCCAATGCCACCACCAATACTCTCAGGGCTATGGTGACAGCGAAACACGGCCGAGGCCTCCGCCCACTGTGTTTCCGTGCATCCCACTACCATCGTCATTGAAGCTCCGCAATAATGTGACAGCTGCTTCAAAATGCTATGAAGTCGGTAACTTTTCAGAACACTGAGCAACGTTGCAGCCCACGACGAACATTAACGGCACCAACAGCCATCAGCACGGCCCCAAAGGTCCTGAGAGTTTCATCGAAGCCGGCCCGATGGCCAGCAAAACAAATCAAGCCGAGCGGTACCCACCGGCATCGGCGATATCCATGTCGTCGGCGCGCTTGCAGGCGGCGGAGGGCGGCAGCCGGACGGTGTTATCCGCCGGCGCCGCGCCCTGCCGGCGAGTGCGCAGCTTGTTCTGCATGGTGCCCAGGGACTGGAACCACTGCATTGGCGGGAAGCCCAACCGGTGGTGCTCCTGGGGACACAGGTGCGGTCAGCGGCGGCCACGCACCGCCTCCGTCCCTCGGCGGGCGGCGGGCTGAACTCCGGACCGTGTCACGCAGGCGCAGTCAGCGGCGGCCACGCACCGCCTCCGTCCCTCGGCGGACGGCGGGCTGGACTCCGGACCGTGTCACGCAGGCGCAGTCAGCGGCGGCCACGCGCCGCCTCCGTCCCTCGGCGGGCGGTGGACTGGACTTCGGATCGTGTCACGCGAGCTTGGGCAGCCAGGGAGGGCATGCCCACTCCATCCGAGAGGGATTCAGCAGTCAGACGCCCGTCAGATAATACTGCCCATACATACCGTTTGCGAGGGGAAATTGGAAACAAACGCCGAAACGTACCTACCTCGCGCATGTCTCCATTACGCCAAGTATGAAATAAGATCCGAACTTCCCTACATCACAACGGATGTGATGACAACGTATGCAACATATCTAAAACGGTGACATCCATCACTGCGTCTCACCGGCAATGTCAATAAACACTGCCCATTGACTACAGTCCTGATCCTAGAACTTTCCGATGTGCTTCCGACGTCCTCTGGATATCCCCATATAGATAGTGATATCAGAGGAGCAAGGCGCAGCCATTGATCGCACCAGCCTTGCAGATTGACGAAAAGTGTGGTCTGAAACTTACGTCTACCACATCCTTGGGTTGTCGCACGTTGAACCCAGGGAATGTGATGAGCTTCGTCAGGTCGTAGGTCAGCTCCTCGCTTGCCGCCGCCTGCTGAGGCTTACCATTCGACTCTGCGACAGACGGTCGCTCGAGCATTAGAGACAGCTCAGACTGCAACAGACCGCTGACAACATCTGCATGGCAGTTAGTCCGCTGTCATCGTGATATGATCAGCAGAACTTTGCGACAATGGAACGTGAGTTGGCAAGTGGAAGTTCACCAAGCATTGACAGACCATACAACACAATTCAGATCGCCATGCCAAGCATGTAATAACATGGCTGTGATTTGGAAAACCAGTTGGAGTCTCTCCCTGGGTCGATATGCCTTGCGCCCCAATTCTGTCCTCTCTTTGGACTTCGTTCACTCAATTATAACATTTGGAGGGTTATTTTTTCCTCAAGCTTTGTTTCTCAACATGTCAGCCGGCTTTTCACAAGCATATCTCCTGCAAGTTGACCGGGATCGGGTCTCTCCAACCGAAAACAACCCTACATCCGCGTTGTACAAAACGGGGCAAAACCCTTTAGAATGTACTGTATTCATCGACGACGAGCTTTGGCTTCAAGCAACGTTACGATTTCATCACGATACGATACGATTTTATTCACACATCAGTTGCTGGCGATCTTCTGGAGGAGTTGCCACTTACGTTGAGATTAAAATATCGCCTTTGAGACTTGTCCTATTGTGACCAGCTGCGATTAACAGAGTAAAGCATGAATATTTGTGGCATTTTACGGAAAACTACGGGTGCAACAGATGCAAAATATTGATTTGATAAGGTGAGTAACAAGGACTTTTATGTCAAATAAAACGAAAGGACTTGAACGCTTTTTACCTAGAGCCTGCTTGTCTCCCTTTAACAAGACTTAACCCTGTTTCTTTGGTCACTCAGCTGCATAGTTAGTTACATTTAGCTTATCAGTTGAGACGAGCAGTGTCCAACCATGATGAAATCGATACCCTAACTACAGGTCGTTGGTCGTATAGCATCATTTTATATTTTTATATAGCATTTATATAATACCATTTTGACATTTCTGGCCGACCAGTGGGCCCCGACTGAATTTCAGCACTTTCAGCTGGGTCACCAGGGAGGTGCATGAAAAATGGCACGTCCCCAACACCAAAATAATTTATATAATAATCGTGAAGGATGGCAAATAACACGTTTCCGAAAGCAAACCATTAGGTGATATGATAATGATAATGCGAAGGTAAGTTTCATCTATACTTAATTATAATCGCATACTTTTTTCTCGTAAGTATTCCCACCGTCGATCTCAATCAATTCTTCAAGCAGGTCAAATAAGAAAAACATCATTGGTGTTTTGGCAGACAATGCCCTGCTTTACTTAAAACAATGCGCCCCAAAGCCACGGTTCATAACCCAACTAAAGTAAACTCAACTTGACTGAAAACCAAACTATAACTACAAAGCCAACCATAGCCACTTGAAACACTTGCACAGTGCATCTAGAATAAAAAAAACATCACACACTTGGCATGTTGCATCTTATTCACATTCGCGTGTTAAATTTGACCCCGAGACACGCCTTCAGTGTACAGGCGGCACAACCTAACCTACTCCCGATTAAGCTGACACATCAGTCGTCCCATCTGAGCCCACACCGGCCGCCTCGGCAGGCCCAGCCCGCCTGATCCCACACCGGCCGCCTCGGCAGGCCCAGCCCGCCTGAGCCCACACCGGCCGCCTCGGCAGGCGCAGCCCGCCTGATCCCACACCGGCCGCCTCGGCAGGCGCAGCCCGCCTGAGCTCACACCGGCCGCTTCGACAGGCCCAGCCCGCCTGAGCCCACACCGACTGCTTCGGCAGGCGCAGCCCGCATGAGCCCGCACCGGCCGCTTCGACAGGCCCAGCCCGCCTGAGCCCACACCGACTGCTTCGACAGGCCCAGCCCGCCTGAGCCTACACCGGCCGCTTCGACAGGCCCAGCCCGCCTGAGCCCACACCGACTGCTTCGACAGGCCCAGCCCGCCTGAGCCTACACCGGGCGCCTCGGCAGGCGCAGCCCGCATGAGCCCACACCGGCCGCCTCGGCAGGCGCAGCCCGCCTGATCCCACACCGGCCGCCTCGGCAGGCGCAGCCCGCCTGAGCCCACACCGGCCGCTTCGACAGGCCCAGCCCGCCTGAGCCCACACCGACTGCTTCGGCAGGCGCAGCCCGCATGAGCCCACACCGGCCGCCTCGGCAGGCCCAGCCCGCCTGAGCCCACACCGGCCGCCTCGGCAGGCGCAGCCCGCCTGATCCCACACCGGCCGCCTCGGCAGGCGCAGCCCGCATGAGCCCACACCGGCCGCTTCGACAGGCCCGGCCCGCCTGAGCCCGCACCGGCTGCCTCGGCAGGCCCGGCCCGCCGGTACCGGCTGCCCACTCACCGGGCTTGGGGTCGTGGTGGACGGCGATGTTGGAGCGCTGCTGGCGCGCCGCGCGCAGCCAGCCGGGCGGGTAGCCCAACACGCGCATCCGGTACACGTGGACGGGCAGGTCGCAGTCTCGCAGGCTCAGCGCCCGACGCAGGCCGGCGCTGATGGTACCTGGCGTCAGGTGGCTGAACCGCTGGTCCGCCTCCTCGTGGTACCGGTTGTACCTGCGCAACGTGGCGCCACCCCGTGCGCGAGGCGTCAGACCGGAGCCGCTGGCCGGGGAGGGGCGTCGGGTACATGTCTGGGGCGCAGCTTGACTCGAGATTCAGGCCGTCCATTGGGGGTAAACAACTGCCCGCACAGCATAAAGCATGAGCCACCACCACACATGCGGTCATGAGTCAACTTGTCCGCAATCACCCAATAGCACATCCGCATGTCTGTTGAGTCAGTGTCACAGCCAGCTGTCTCGCAACATCTGGCACCAGGAATATCTAATGGTCTTGAATTTAGCATGCAGAATGATTTGAAACGCCCCGAGTATATCTGCAGTGATGAAGCGACAACATGGTTATCGATGATACTCCCATCCATTATGACATCTGACGTACGATGGATTTTGGCCAGCATGTTGACGCCTATTCTTTGCAATTCTGGCACTGTCCCTTGGTTCTGGACAAGCTGCGATCATGTGGTCGCCCTCACAGTTGAAACACAGATTCTTCGGTCTGGAATCCTTCTTCTCATCTTGCTTATCCGAGCTGGAGCCGACAATTCCAGTGAATGTCTGCAAATGATAACCGACTTAAAAAGAGCATCCATATATTAAGACATTCTTCAACATTTGGAATATATATATATATATATATATATATATATATATATATATATACATATCTACGGTATAATCAAACATACGCGTCAAAAGTGTAGGCAAACTGTAAGTGCAACAAGCATGGAGGGATGCATCACTCATTGAGGCATACATTGTTACACCACTTCCCACAGCTCAAATTCATCTAACAGTGTGTGTTCCACCACAATCTTAAATAATGACTCTCAATGAGATCCTTCAAATTGAATAAAATGAGCCCATCAAGTACAATTTACGGCTCGCTACAGAACTTAAGACGCCTTAACACAGGAGAGCCCTTAAAGTCCGGCTGCTTGTGCACCCTTACGGTGGATCATTAACGTGCCCCGCGAGCCACATGTCACCGCTGTCTGCCCGTAACAACGTCTGAGAGCCTATGAAAGGTCTGACCCAAACACGGACGGAGTGGTCGGCTGCCCCCGGAGGCGGCCGCTGGCGAAGGTGAGCACGCCGATACCGGCTCCCTGGCTAGGGCTGGAGGCACCCATGTGCGGCAAGTCGGGTATTGCAGCAGTCATCGCGAAGTCAGCTGCAGTTCTCCATTTATGAAAAATGCACGCATGATGTGCGGCATGACACGCGCGCACTCTCCGCAGTTTAAGGGACTCACACAGCTTGTCGGTTCACATTCCCACTACTTGACCGACGCGCTTTGGCAACTCTAGCACAGGCGACCGACAGTGTGCATTGTGTGCATTGTGTACACAGAGGTCGGGTAGGGGACGACTTTGACGCCAACTTTGGCCAGCTATCATGCACGAATACAGCCACAGTAGCAGTGCTCCGCGCACGATCACTGGCCTGCTATTGGCATAGCTATCTTATACCGGGCAGGACAGTTATAACCATGTAATACCGGCTGTGACGCTCCCAAGGCGGGTGTGTTGCTCGTCATGAAAAGAAGCGAACGGTATCCGGCTTGCAGATTTTCAAAACGCATTAAAATACTTTGACATGATTCACAACCACACCTGAGAAAAGTAGCGATGTTCGATACCGCCCCCTAACTTATTACGCTTCGGTTGCGGTCGCTCAAGATCATCACCACCTAATGTATGGACAAGAGGACGCCAAAAAACTGAGCCTCCCAGCGTTCGGTTTTCTAACCGCGCAATCCTTCCGACGACTTGAGCCAGCTCTTTGTTTTGTTGAATTCGTCATCAAGAAGGGGAAACATAGCAATAAGCAGTACCGGCCGCACCCGACATCCAGGGCTGGCTGCCGTGGACTTCAGTGTCGCCTCGACGCACGGCGCGAGAACCAATCGCGGGCGTTTGGAGCATAGCACGACCTCGCTGCGGTAGCCGTACCAAGAACAGACGCCCAGACCGACGTGCGCCGACACCTTCGTTAGCATCAGCGTGGGTAGAGTAAGGTTAATACAGTATGCCATGAGAGCATCTCAGGTGCACTGACACCTGATCAAATGGCGTTCACTTTTCCGTCCGTCAATAGTTGATTATGTTTGAAGTTCTCCATTCTGTCTTGTTTTAGGGTCTGTCATACATCAAGTGCACTTAGCGAGCCACCCAAATTTTGCGATTTGACGGTGACCGCAACTTAATGTTTAAACACTGGACTCAACAAAATCACTTTTACTGCTGCCACCATGCCTGTTGACAGCTTTTCATGAATTACAAGCCCACGTGAAAGCCACACTCCACCAACTGTTTTGCTACACAGTTATTAAGAAGTCACATGAATGGAACAACCTCTGGCATCACAATGTGGCAGTCCACAGCCTAGACAGCCAAATGGAAAAACAGACATTGAAGTGCTGCCAATCTATGGGTTTGACTACCAAATGGAAGTTAAATAACAGTTTGGGCACAGGGCTCCATCACAAACCTGATCATACTGAGGCAGAGTATCCACAGCAAAAGAATCATGATCAATTGCTTCTACTTCATCTTCGCTTCCAGGGATATCAGCAATCTTTGGGTGAAACTCCACGCAGGGCACACCATCCTTTTCTCCATATGTAGATATATCTGACTTTGTAAGCTGGGCTACAAAGTCTGTTATCTGTCTGCAGTATTTCCTGCAAGAAGAAAATAATGCAAACATATCCCATGCTTTAAGAACAGGTTCAAAAAGACAAATTCAGGCTATAACATATGCTGTTGTTCACGTTATTCCTGAAAAAGATGGGAATAAGCCAGTAACATATGTCCATTTCCAGCTTTCTGATTTGCAAAAACACATGTACCAGAGCCATTTCCAGAGACCTGAAAAATTATTCCTGAAAAAGATGGGAATAAGCCAGTAACATATGTCCATTTCCAGCTTTCTGATTTGCAAAAACACATGTACCAGAGCCATTTCCAGAGACACACACACGCACGCACGCACGCACGCACGCACGCACGCACGCACGCACGCACGCACGCACGCACGCACGCACGCACGCACGCACGCACGCACACACACACACACACACACACACACACACACACACACACACACACACACGCACACACACACACAGTTGATACAGTTGATATGACAACCCAATGCAATACAGTCCATATGCAAATCATGACCTACTTAGCATCACTTTGCATGGTGAGAGATTTAGATCAGGTTTTTTGGTTCACATATACATCTAGCCACCTGAACAAAGCAGAAAGCATGTATATTTATTTTTTAGCAAACACAAACCAAACCAAACAAAGAACTGTCTGAATGCAGCACAGCAGTAACAAAGCTTTTTTCATATTGTGCTGTGCAAACAAAGCATGTATATAAATATGCACTATCCTGGCATGAGTATCATTGACTTCTATAAGTGTGTGCAAAAATATGCTAAATTTTAAAAAATACAGATTGCATTAGGTGCCCATGGAATGCAATGCTCAGTGACTGATGTGGAGGCTTAGGCTAATGACATTGTCTGCAAGAGTAAATGGGTAAATCCAAAAGTTTGTGAGGTAATGAAGAATGTACAATACAACACTACAAAAAGTATGCATATCTACAAAAACCAGCATGTTATGATCTGGCTAACTGTGTATGGACAAATGCAAGAGTTTCAAGAGCAATAAAAGGGCTCACCCAGAAAGCCATTTTCACAACCTGCAGGCCTTCCAAATTTCTCCTATGCAGTTCCAACATTGCACATCTTCTTTCACGCTCTTTTGAGGTATTTACAACATTTTTTAATTGTCAACATCAATCCACATGCATACTGGTATATGTAAATGTTTGACAGAAAATAGAACTTTCAAGGTGGGCTGAAAATTAGATTGTATATATACAGATTAAGATGAACTTTGTTGAATTTAGTGTACCATTATCTGAAAACAACATTTTTGAGCATATTACGATGTTTTACTTCAACATACCATTACCACATTGTAATTCCTTGGAACATTGTCCCCATTTACACTGTCATTAACTGGAATATGTGGCTAAAATACACTACATTCAACTATGCACATTTCCATTGCACATTCACTTTTAACATTTTTTTGTTATGGTCTAGATACAAACTGGCAATGCAAACCATCAATAAAATGGGTTTGCCATAATTTTATAGCAAAGGAAATTCACTTATGATGTTCATGTGGTCCTACTATAACATTTATCCACAATTTTGAAACTTCAGCACATATAAACAAAGCTGAAATCTGATGATGTTCTGCCGCTATAAGCTTTGATCACCATGTGTCTCATAATCAAGAATGAGGATCATGTGAATGTGTGTTTAAGGTTATACCCTTCAATCACTTGAGACATCATCTTTGAATCACTTGTGATGTCCCTGGGAATTGATAAGCTACATAAGTGTCCTGACCCCAGCTCATCTCACCTAACCATAACCTCAACTTGTCCTACATTTACCATTGTACTACTTGAACCTAGCCTATACAATCTGTCAATGGTTGCCCATGGTACACCAGGTAGTGTTATTTTCTATTAGCTTATCTAACAAATCCTCAGCTCAACTTCCAAAACCAGTCCTTGAAGCAAGACTGTCCTAGATAAAATGACACCACACCCAGAATTATTAGAATACTCAAATATCCTATGTTTCATTTCCCAGTAATGCAACACATAATTTGAAAAAGAAATGCACATGAGCATATTTCTACACCAACAGATTGTCTACTGCCATTGTTCAATGCAAGATGATACAATGCTCCTGCTTTCTGATCAATAACTTTTTCCAGTCATATATGGGTGTAGGTATACATTGGTACCTAATGTTAAAGAAGAGCATTGTACATCATGTCATGTTTCAGATGGAACATATTGTAAATAATCAAAAAACAGGTAGATCCATGCTCCTACATCCAAATTTTTATAGCTACAATAGCAAGCTTCCGAGCACCACACACTCCACCGCCTCAACCCCCTGTGCCATTGCTGCGTTATCGTTACATGTTTACAATATTACTGCTTATCAAGAACCACCTAAACTAACCTAACCTAACCTAATCTAACCTCCTCACCCTATCCCCTTCAAACCAGTGTCCCATTGGCATCTATGTTCCATGCAATATATATGTGCCATATTAAGAAGTTTTGTCTAGCTGCTGCATCCCCATTTTGCCTTTCATTCGCCATCCAAAGACCATGCCCACCATGTCGACCAATCTACAACCAGGGCAGGAGACTGCTTGGATATGCAAGAAACATATTTCATTTGATTTTGTTACCTTGGCCCCCTAAATTTTTATGGTTCTTGATGTGCAGTAATGTTGTGATCACTGTCAGCAAGCATAGCAATGGCACCAGGGTCATGGCTGCTGCGTGTGCAGCGCTCAGATGTTCTGCATCATAATTATTTAAATTCCAAGGTAAGAGTTTAGACAACCTGTTTTACAATTATTTACAACATGTTCTCCCTTAAAAATGATGAATGATGTACTATGCTTTTTTTGACATGAGGTAACAAGATACACCATGACTGATGCATGATTTCAGTATATCACATTCATGTGCTAAGGCATTTTGCTATCATGTAGCAATTTTCAGACCAACTTTTCAGTCATTCTATTCGCCACACGGCATCTTTCTGATTCCATATTCCTATTCTGAAAGTGTGTGGAGAGCATGCCTGAAACTCAATTCACAAATGATATAGGATGCATTGACAGCTTGCTTCACTTTCTTTGAGCTTGTAAGAACTCAACAAGCATGAAGAGTGCTTGAGTATGGTGTGAACATGATAACATTATTTCATATTTCAATAATGTGAGCAGTAGCATACCTTGCAATCTGCTGGGATCCAAAACACACAGTTATAATTTGATGATCAGGCAAGTTGATACTCTCTTCTGCAGATTCCATACATTGCTTCTTCTGAGGATGATATGACTCAGTAGTAATGTCTAAATCACTGTCATCAGCCTTCCGCTTTAAAGAGTTGTTCAGGGAGTCTGTTGCACCAGCTATCAAGCTAACAACCGTGTCATCTATGGTGACAGCCTCGTCTTTTCCATTGAAGACAGCCGTGTCTTCTGAATCCATTGTCCACGCACTACCGCGATTCAAGACGCACGCCTGCGGAAGAACCCAGCAATAGTTCCCGGAACAACTAAGTATTTGGCTTTTCCTGCAGTATTTTACAAAATTGCAATACCCCGAAGGCTATTATTTCCGCTCCCAAAATTCGTAGTGGAACTTCGAGCTTAACCGAACGACGGTTAATTGCCGCAAATTCTCCTTGTTGCGTACTTTTTGTCACCATATCGTGTTATTCGTGAAATACATAATAGAGATGGATAGCTACGAAAGCTCGTGATATTTAACAAAAAGAAAACTTACGAGCAACGTTAATTTCTATGGCTGAATGGCACCCGAGACAATCATACACTAAAAATTCGCGACAGATGCCAAGTTAGCAAGCGTGCTAACAGCAATATTCATGATTTCCGGTACAGTTGGCCTGGGTAACCATGACAACACCGGGGATGTGACTCGCAAGAATCCCAGCGTAGACGCGGCCAAATTATTGTTAAGTGTGGACCAATGAAAAATAAAGGAGCCTTCCTGGATATAACAAATGATGAAAAGGCAAAGAAAAACGGCACAAGAGCCAAAATATTTCTGAAGAACGGAACTTACAAGGGGGATTGGAACAACGATCTGAAACATGGTAAGCTTCGTGTCGCAAGGGTGCGAGTATATCATGTGAATTTTGGATCCACAGGTTAGCATCTATACTTTTAGTTGTTCAGCCTCTACGAGAAAGGTTGCCGAAATATTAACAAGCAAACATTGCCATCGCTTTCACGGCTTTAAGATTGCAGTCACCATTTCCCACAGCGGCACCGACTGGCCCGTTTCCATAACGACGGTGGCAAGTTAGTAAACAAACCGAATTCCTCGGTCATAGCACCGGCTGCATCGGCCATCGCCAGGTCGGTAGCGACAAGCGGTGCGGTGAGTTGTTGGCGCACATGACAGGTTAATTTAAAGTGCACCAGGGACCGGAGGTAAGCTTGTTCTGTGGTGGATAACGATGTGGTGCTTCCGCAGTCCAGTTCTTCTGTTTGGGCGGTTAGTTGGTCGGTAGGGAGTTCGGCTAGCTAACACAAAACAAACAGGAATTTGCAAGTGGTGTGAAAAGAACTAGGTGAAAATGAGCAAGGACAGCAGAAAAAAGTTCATTTTGACAACGACCGCGAACTATTTTGGAATCAACCCGTCTGACAAGGGTATTGAATCCCTAACAGAGAGTCAAGAGTTGAACAGCTTTCTCGACGATGGCAACTGCTTCGTTCTGATAGCGTGTGGAGAAAGTAAGGACGGGAAAAGTGAAGTGCATCTTAGCAACAAAGTAGACTTAGGCAAGAAAGATGACAAAGTAATCGTGTTCTTCAAAGTCAAGCCGGAGCCGATTACGCCAGATAATCTGCATACAAACGTCTTCATATCGTCCATGCTGGACTCGCCCATCAGTGCCCTATTCTACTCCCTCCAAAAGGTGTATGCTCCAGCGCTTTTGCAAAATGACAAATGGAGCGATAAGGTGGATCCAAAAATACAAGACCTCCTATCCAATTTGCAAGCGGGCCTCGGAACCCTTATACGACGCTCTGATTCCAAGCAAAGCAAGGAATCTGACGACTCTATGAGCACCATCTTCACGCCGTCTGACGAGTACGAGTACTGGCTGCAAATGGCAGATTCCAGCGGCAGATCTGGGGCTGTTTTCTCCAACCTACTGAGGCCACTTGACCTTGCATTCAAGAAGTTGGATTCCATGAAGATCGGAGAAAGTGAAGATGTTGTAGAGGAAGCATTCAACGATCTCGACGACCTGTGGAAAGCGGAAGAAGCTGAGTATCCAGAAGCTCGAATGAAGCTGATGATGGACGTTATCGGCAACACTCTGTGCCGTTTCATTCAATCCCGGTTGGCGGACGTTGACCTTTGGAAAGGTACGTACAGCCAGGTGGAGGAACAACTGAACCAGGCTGTGACTGTCCTTGAGCAGTGGATCGATAATTGTAACCGATTGACCACTGTATTTTGGCCCAACTACTTCGCGCACAAGTGGAAGAGTCCGGCTTTCGTACCAGAACACGCAAAGAGCATGGTACAGCGACTCAATGAAGTGATGAATCTGAGGATGCTACACAAGCAGCTGACAAAGCTCCTGTCAACTACTGAGCAAGAGGAGCTGAAGACAAAAGATGCTTTCGTGCCTTTTGCGGGGCTAAACCCGTTGCAGTACAACCCATACACGGACCCATTGTGGAAGGCTGCAGTCCAGCAGTTCCAGAACCTGTTAAAGCCAGCTGAACAAAAGATCGCCGGCAAACTACGCATGCAGCTGCGTAACATGCAGGGGAACGCCCTTCAGCTGATGCAAGAGTTCAAAAGGTATCGTGAACTCATCAAGGAAGAAAGCATACGCAAGGAACTGATAGCGGAGCGTGAAATGCTTTTAGGTCAGCTGCTAGAGTTCGTCAAAACGACACAGCAGAACTTTCGCAACCAACAGGGAACGGGACCACGTAAAATACTGGATGTTCCGCAGGTCGTGAATAACATCTACTGGGCTCGGCACATCGAATCAAAAGCCAAAGACATAGAAAAAACTGGCGATGCTTTGTTGTCGGACCTTAACGGATACAGCGGTCTGAAAAAGGACACCACTCAGCTTCTCGACGAGCTGCAGGAGTACCACCGGGAACAGTTTGATTCTTGGAGCAAAGACACCATGGAAATGATCAAAGACAAGACTCTCAGCCTGGCAACCGAAGAGCAGGTGGTTGAATTCGAAAGAGGGAAGCACATGAAGGTAAATTACAACCGGCGACTGGTGGGGCTCATCCGAGAAGTCAGACAGCTGATTGTTCTTGGATACTCGATACCATCAAGGATCATCGAAGCAACTAATCTGGCCAAAAAGTTCATGACCCAGGCCAAGGCTCTCGAACAAGTCGCAAACTTCCACAACACCATTGGTGATCGCATCATCAAGTCCCAGCGCCCGATGATGCTGGAGGCAGCCATGGCCTTTGCACAGCTCGTCCAAAAACAGCAAGGAATTACTTGGAATAACACACAGGCCGTAGACGAATACATCATCAAGCTCCAGGCTGCAGTGGAAATGCTGTCGAGGAACAACAATCGGTTAGTCACGGCCCACAACCAAATCAAGGAAAAAGTTCTCCTGATGATGGACACAGATTTACTCCGACAGCAGCAAAAGTGGAAGGACCTGCTTAAAGAGATCCGAGGCATCTTTCAACAACTTGAATCTGCGGACTTCAAGGACCAGAAAACGTGGCGGGCACACTGGGACAGGCAGATCTACAAAGCTCTTGAGCACCAGTATCAACATGGCTTAGAAGTGGTAAACCAGCATCTGCCTGAGCTCAAAGTAGAGCTTGTCTACAGAAACAGGAAGCTTCAGTTTGCGCCACCCATCGAAGAGATCCGACTGAAGTACTACAGTCAGCTGAAGCGTTTCCTAAACATACCAAACAACTTCCGCGGTGTCGGAGAGGGCGGACCGGAGGCCAGCATCTACCCAATCATCATCGAAAGAAACGCCTTTCGGTACAACAAGCTGTTTCATGCCGCTGAAGAGCTGTTCCAACGGCTGGAGTCAGTCAAGGACAAGTTCGAGGACTGGGTAGCACTGGGCTCAGTGGACATGGATGACCTGATTCAAAAAAGATGTAAGACGTCAGAGGACTATGACAAAAACTTCAGAGCGTCGAAGAGCAAGGGGCAGGAAATCGGAAGGCTTCCGAGCACTGAGGAAAAAATTGACTGCATCACCGTCAGCTTCTCTGCTATCAGGTCAGAAATAGAGATCATTAATAGGCGGTACTGGGATGCTCTCGTCTCGTTGCTGCAACACAGCATCATCAAAGACTGTCATGCTCTCAACAGATTCGCCACAGACTCATCGGAGGGCTTGAAAAGACAGCCACAGACCATCGACGAGGTAGGAGAGTCTGCAGCCAGGAGAAACGAGATCATGACCGAAATGCCCGAGTACGAGATACTCATGAAAGATGTAGAAAAGCGGAACAGAATGCTGGCGAACTGGACGAAGGAAAAAGTAGACCAGGTGGCCAAGGTCAGCTCAAAGTGGGATAACTTCCAGAGCTTGGTCTCGAACTATGACGCGCTCATGTCCAAGCAGATTGAGGCGCTGAAATCGAACATGAAATCTCAGGCCAAAAACCACCTGAAGGAGGTGGAAAGGTTTGCAGCCAAGTGGCATCAGTTCAAGCCAAAAGACGACGTCTTCGATCGCGACACAGAAGAAATCCTCAAAAGCTTGGAAATTGTGAAGGAAAAGAAACGAGAATGGGACGTCCTAGCTGAGGAAAGGGATAAACTGATGGCCGGCTTTGAACAGTTCGGCATGGACAAGCCTGATATGAGTGAGGTTGAGAAGGTAGAAAAGAGCTTGCTGGATGCTGAGGCATCGTTTTCACTCTTTGAAGAGTACCACAATGGGATGAACGACATGCTCAAAGAAGAGTGGATTGTTTTCCGGAGTAAACTGTATCGCTTTGAGGAGTATCTTGCACAGTGGAACGACAAGCTTCAAGAAGAACAGAAAAACCCGCTGGCGGTTAAGCTACTAAAGGAGATTGAGAAGGATTATGAGCTAGTGCCGGCTCTTAAATTTGTGCGGGGTGACGCTTTCAGTGAGAAGCACTGGAACGAAATGTACAGCCTGTTGGGTATTCCCACGTCACTGGGCATTGATAAACTCACTTTCGGCGACCTCATGAGAGTCAAGCCGAAAATTTTGGAAAATAAGGAAGCCCTGAAGGAGCTGAACGGGCGGGCGACGGGAGAAGTAGCCATACGACAGGCACTGCAAGAGCTAGATGCCTGGGAAATCGAGTCGAAGTTCACACTGGTAGAACAGAACGATTCTGGAAACAGACCAATCAAGCTGATCAAAGACTGGAAGGATCTACTGAACAAGGTTGGCGACCTTCAGTGCCTCCTTCAGTCCCTCAAGGATTCACCATATTACCAGGCGTTCTTGGATCGTGCAGGAATCTGGGAACGTCGACTGGCAGATCTAGATGAGTACTTGGCAAATCTGAATCAGATACAGCGGAAGTGGGTGTACCTAGAGCCTATCTTTGGAAGAGGGGCTCTGCCCAAGGAGCAGTCACGCTTCAAACGAGTCAATGATGACTTCAGGTCGATCATGGGAGACGTAGCGAAAGACCCACGTGTTGTTTCTCTATGCAAGATAGCAGGACTCAGGGAGACCTTAAATACCATGATGGATCAACTGGGGCGCTGTCAAAAGAGTCTGAGTGAGTTTTTGGAGGAGAAACGGTCCCAGTTCCCTCGTTTCTACTTCATTGGAGATGATGACCTACTGGAAATTCTGGGCCAGGCTACAAACCCGACCATTATTCAGTCACACCTAAAGAAGCTTTTCGCGGGCATATACCGCGTCGACTTTGATGACAGTAACTCCAGCATTGTTGCGATGAAGTCACTGCAGGGAGAGGTCGTGAAATTAAAGAGGCCCGTTCATATCACGAAAAATGTGGAGGGCTGGCTTCAAGAGCTTGCCAATGAAATGAAAAGCACCTTGAAGACCTTGCTGGTCGAGTGCATGAAAGAATCGCAAGGCAAAGGTCCAGATCCACTGGTGTACCCGAGCCAAATTTTATGCCTGTCAGAGGGTATCATGTTCACGGAAAAATGTGAGAAAGCCATAGAAAAGGGCACACTAAAAGACGCACTCAGTGAAATGAAGGCTCAGTTGGAGAGCTACACCAGTCAAGACATCGACACGAGTGACGAAGAGGGGAAGGTTCTGGAGCTCAAACTGAAGTCGCTCATCTTGGACACGATTCACAACATTAGCGTTGTCGAAGATCTGATAGCGTCATCCGCCAAGGCACTGGACAGCTGGACGTGGCAAAAGCAGCTGAGATACTACATGCGCAAGGACGGTGTGGCAGTTGTGCGAATGGTCGACGCTGAATTTGAATACACATACGAGTACCAGGGCAACGCGTCCAAGCTCGTGCACACACCTCTCACGGACAAATGTTACTTGACGCTCACCCAGGCCATGCATATGGGCATGGGAGGGAACCCATACGGCCCAGCTGGTACGGGAAAGACAGAGTCAGTTAAGGCGATGGGGAACCTGTTTGGCAGACAGGTCCTGGTGTTTAATTGTGACGAAGGTATTGATGTGCAGTCCATGGGCCGCATATTCATAGGTCTCGTGAAGTGTGGAGCATGGGGATGCTTCGACGAATTCAATCGGTTGGACGAAGCCGTGCTCTCTGCCGTTTCCATGCAAATCCAGGTCATCCAGGCGGCCCTGAAGAGCAAGGAGCCCAAAATTCAACTGCTCGGAAATGAGATAGACATTGATTACAACTCGGGCATCTTCATCACTATGAATCCCGCTGGCAAAGGGTACGGCGGCCGCTCCAAGTTGCCGGACAACCTGAAACAGCTCTTCCGCCCAGTGGCAATGACTACCCCGGACAACGAGCTCATCACAGAAACTATTTTGTACTCAGAAGGGTTCAAACATGCAAAATCCCTGGGTAAAAAGCTGACTGCAGTATTCAATCTCTCAAAACAACTGTTGTCTGCGCAACAGCACTATGACTGGGGGTTGAGAGCCCAGAAGACTGTTCTAGGTGGTTGTGGAAACCTCCTTACATTGCACAAAGCGACCTTGAAGGAGGGTGGAACAGTGGATGAGGAAACAGAAGCCAAACTAATCGTGCAAGCAGTACGTTTGAACACCATGTCAAAGTTGACATTTGCGGACACCCACCGGTTTGACTCCCTCATCAAGGACGTCTTCACTGGCATTGCCGTGGATGATGTCAGCTATGATGAGCTGGTGAGTGCAATCAAAGAGACGCTGAAAGAGCTGGGCCTCATGGAGAGTCAAACACAAATCAAAAAGGCCATCGAGCTGTACGAACAGCTAAACCAAAGGATGGGGTGTGTTGTCGTTGGCCCAAGCGGCTGTGGGAAGACCACGCTGTGGAAGGTTTTGAGGCTGGCCATGATCAAAACAGGACGGACGGTGAAGATACATACCATGAATCCTAAGGCCATGCCTCGCACTCAGCTCCTAGGTCACATTGACATGGACACAAGAGAATGGTTCGATGGTGTGCTGACAAACAGTGCTCGCCTAGTGGTCAAGGAACCAAAGGAAGTGCAATCGTGGATCATATGTGACGGTGATATCGACCCAGAGTGGATTGAGTCGCTGAACTCCGTGCTGGACGACAACCGTCTGCTAACCATGCCGTCTGGCGAGCGCATCCAATTCGCACCCAATGTCAATTTCCTCTTCGAGACGCACGATCTGAGCTGCGCCTCACCTGCAACGATCTCGCGCATGGGGATGATATTCCTGAGTGACGAAAACACAGATGTGGACGCTGTTGTGTCGGCTTGGGTAGAGCGGCAGCCGGAGGCGCGACGAAAGGTATTAGCAGGGCTCATAGAAGAACACTTCCACAATGCCCTGGAGTGGGTACTCGACGCAGACTCCATGGAGACGGAAACGACCTTGATCGGCACAGTCATGAACGGACTATCGCACCTGTCGCACGCAAAAAGTAAGACAAGCTTCGGTGTGGCGCTCATTCATGGATTGGGTGGCAACCTGACGAAGGACGCCAGGGCAAAGTTTGCGAAAGAGATATTTACCTGGGTTGGAGAATCCCCTCCTGATGGGAGCAACCCCCTGAACTTCCACTACAACGAACGAAAGGACCACCTGGAGACCTACGGTACGAGTCAAGAGTCAAAGGTGACTGTAGACTCCCTTTTCTCTTCGGACCCGCCGCTGATCCTCACGCCAGACGTGCAGTGCACGCTGGATTACTTTAGACCCTGGCTGGAAGGCGAGCAACGAGAACCGTTCCTCATGGTTGGCCCTGAGGGCAGTGGAAAGACTCAAATGCTCTACCAGTGTTTCAAGAAGTTGAAGTCCACTCAAGTAGCGACTGTACACTGCAGTGCCCAGACGACTCCACAGCACATTCTGCAGAAACTATCCCAAGTCTGCATTCAGATAACAACTAACACAGGAAGAGTCTACCGACCGAAGGAAAGCGAATGGCTTGTGCTCTACCTGAAGGACATCAATTTGCCGAAGCCCGACAAGTGGGGCACATGTCAGCTGATCGCATTCCTGCAGCAGGTGGTCACCTACAATGGTTTCTGGGACCAGAGTTTGGAGTGGGTGGGCTTGGAGCACGTCCAGATCGTGGGCAGCATGATCGGCGGGAAGGCCCTGGGCAGACATGAGCTATCCACGCGCTTCACGTCCATTGTTCGCCTTTTGTCAGTTGACTACCCCGAACTAGACCAAGTGCAGAGCATCTACGCGGCCTATCTGACGCCAATCTTGAACGGGATGTCCGGCAACGTGGGCGAGGCATGGTCAGCAAAGGTAGGGCAGCTGGCCGAGTCCACGCTCAAGGTGTACCAGCAGGTGCAGTCCTCTTTCAGCGCCGATGACCAGAGCCATTATGTGTTCTCTATGCGCAACCTCACAGATTGGCTTCTCAGCCTGATCAGGTACGACGTTGAAGAGGAGAACGTTGTCGAGTCGGTTCTAGAGGCCTGGGCATACGAAGCCTGCCGTCTCTTCAGGGACCGTCTTGTCACAGACGTCGACCAGTCCAAGTTCGACAAGATTTTGTACGATGTCATCTCCACCGACTGGGGAGTTAATTTACATGGTCACATGGATGGAAAGTTCTTCGTAACACCAGGTGCACGAGCCGAAGCACAGACCGCGCCAGGTCGGCCCCCGCCCATTACTGGCAAGCACCTGGGCAGCCTCGAACCAGACGACTGGCAGGCGTGCATTATGAAGGGCGCTCATCATTTCGTGGCAGAACAGTACGATCTGGACATGTTTGTCTTCCGGGAGGTGCTGGAGACCATCGCAAGAGTGGAGCGCGTACTTTCGAGTCCCGGTGGCTCACTGCTCATGGCAGGGCGATCCGGCGTTGGACGGAGGACGGCTGTAGGTATCGCAGCCTGCATGCTCGGAGCAAAGCAGGTCTCGCCGAAAATGGGGAAGGGTTATGGTGAGAAGCAGTTCCGTAACGACCTGAAGTCGTATATGCAGATGGCGGCCATCGACAACGATCAAGTGGTCTTCATTCTGGAGGATCATCAAGTGATCGATCCCTCTTTTCTGGAGATGGTGAACTCCTTGCTGTGTGCAGGTGAGATCCCCGGGCTGTTCGCACCGGAAGAGATTGAGCCCATGGTTTCGCCACTTCGGGACGATGCCTCTCAGGAAGGGTTCAGAGGACCTCTGTTCTCCTTTTTCTCTTCTCGAGTGAAAAAGAATCTACATGTCGCCATAATCATGGACTTCACAAACCCTACGTTTGTCGTGAACTGCCAGAGCAACCCAGCGCTGATCAAGGAGTGCAACGTCTTGTGGATGAGTAAGTGGAGCAAAGAGAGCATGACCTCGCTACCGATGATGGTCATTGCCAAGAGCAAAGACATGGGAGACGCGGCTGGCGTGTTCGTGCAAGAAAAGAAAAAGAAAAAGGACAAGAGGGAGCGACGGGTTTCCGGTGGCGACGAACTTCTGAACGGGTTCTTGACCATCCATCAGTCCATGCCGGGACCAGCTGCAACGCCTCGGAAGTACATGCAGCTGATGAAGACTTACCTGAAGGTCTACAAGCACAAGAAAGAGGTGATCCTGGACAGACAGCAACACTTGAAGGGCGGCGTGGACAAGCTGAATGAAGCAACAGCCGTTGTTGACAAGCTGAAAAAGGAGGCCGGTGAACAGGAAGTAAAGCTGAACCAAAAGCAGGGAGAAGCGAACAAAGCTCTGAAAATGATAACAAACACTATGAAATCTGCGAGCAAGCAGAAAGAGGAGATGGAGGCATTGAAAGACAAAGCAGAAAAAGAAAGTGTCAAGATGCAGAAGCGCAAGGTGGGCATTGACAAAGAGCTCGCAGAAGTCGAGCCAGTGCTCGCAGAAGCGAGAAAGGCCGTGGGTAATATCAAACCAGAGTCCCTGTCAGAGGTGAGATCCCTGCGGGCTCCTCCAGACGTGATTCGCGACATTCTCGAGGGAGTCATGGGTCTCCTGGGCATAGGAGACACGTCCTGGAACAGCATGAAGAGCTTTTTAGCTCAGAGGGGAATCAAAGAGGACATCATGAAGTTTGATGCTCACAGCATATCCGTTCCACAGCGCAAGAAAGTGGAAAAAATACTGAAGGATAGAGGAAAGAGTTTTGAGCCAGCCACCGCGAAGCGAGCGTCACAGGCAGCCGCCCCCCTTGCGTCTTGGGTGAGGGCTAACGTCACGTATGCAGTCATCTTGGAGAAGATCAAACCGCTGGAGGACGAACAGAACTCCCTGCAGAAAAACATCCACGAGGCTCAGGAGGCTATGGATCGTCTGGGTGATGACCTCGGTAACGTGGAGAAGCACGTAGAAAAACTAACACAACAGCTGAACAAGTCAACCAAAGAAGCTGCTACTATCGAGGTCGGTCTGACCAACGCCAAAGAGACTCTGACCGCAGCCGAAAACTTGGTCGGGCAGCTATCAGGCGAATACAAGCGATGGACACATCAGCTCGAGGAGCTTCAGCATGAGCTTGAAACACTCCCATTGAGGTCGTTGCTGGCCGCTGCCTTCATCAATTACCTCTCCGATGCATCAGAGGACGTGCGTGAGGCAAAAATGCACCAGTGGTGTGAGATGTTGGGCCTCAAGGGCTTTGAATTCCGCCGACACATGAGCTCTGAGAGGGAAATGCTGACTTGGAAGGGCGAAGGCCTGCCATCTGACGACCTTAGCGTGGAGAATGGCGTCGTCGTCATGCACAGTTCCACAGTAATGTTCCTCATCGATCCATCCTCACGCGCCATTGAGTGGCTGAAGACGCACTTGAAAGACTCAGCTGGAGTGGAGGTGGTCACACAACAGGAGGAAAAGTTTGCTACTCAACTGGAGATGGCTGTGCGGTTTGGGAAGACACTCATCATTCAGGAAGTGGACCACTTCGAACCCGTACTGTTTCCCCTGATACGGCAAGACGTTTCAACGCAAGGGACGAGGAAGACGGTCCAGGTCGGGGACAAAATGCTGGACTACAACGAGAATTTCCGGCTATACCTAGCAACTAGAAACCCGGACCCCAACATTCCACCCGACTGTGCCAGCATTCTTACCACGGTGAACTTCATCACCACGAAGGCTGGCCTCACAGGCCAGCTATTGGCACTCACGCTGCAGTCGGAGAAACCCGAGTTGGAGGTGAAACGAAGAGAATTACTGAAACAAGAAGAAGAGAACAAGATCAAACTATCACAGCTGGAAGACAAATTACTACACGAGCTAGCAAACGCTAAAGGCAACATTTTGGAGAACAAGGAGCTCTTGGCATCTTTGACCGAGTCAAAATCATCATCAGCCACCATCGCAAAATCGATCGACGAAGGACAGAAGGTCCAGGAGACCCTGAGCAAAGAGAGAGACGCCTATCTCCCGCTCGCAGAAAGCGGGTCCTGTCTCTACTTCATCTTGACAGATCTATGCAAACTGAACAATATGTATCATTTCTCACTTGGCTCGTTCATGGCGTTGTTCTCACAGGCCTTAAAGATGAAAAGCGACGGAGTCGAAACAAGCATGCGAATCGCTACCCTAAAACGAGCCGCGATCGATGCAGTGTTTTCCAATACCTCTCGCTCCCTTTTCAAGGCGGATCGTTTGATGTTCTCCTTGCATGTCGTCCATGGGATGAACCTGAAAATGTTCCACGAGAACGAGTGGGAGGCGTTCACTGGCCAGCTCCTGTCCGACGTCAAAACCGACCCGGAGACAACGAAGAAGCAAATGCCAGCATGGATCACCGAAGACAGAGCTCTAGCTGTGTCACTTTTGAAATCAAATCTTCCTAAAATGTGGGACGTGCTGAAGCTGGAAGACACTGGAGCGTGGACAGGCTTTGCCACGAGCGCAGAGTGCGAGAAGAACCTACCGTCTCATCTAAAGGATAAGCTGACGCCGTTCCAGAAGCTGCTTGTGGTGCAGGCTCTGCGACCCGACCGTTTGCAGACGGCCATGATTGAATTCGCCACCTCCGTTATGGGCCATGATCTGTCCCCGCCTCCGCTGAATCTGCGAGAACTGCTGAAAGAGACCGTCCCAGGCACGCCGGTGCTCATTCTCATCTCCACGGGCGCCGATCCATCCGAGGAACTCCGGGAACTCGCCAAGAACACCGTCGGGCTCGACAAGTTCTCTGAGGTCGCGATGGGCCAGGGACAGGCTGAAATTGCTTTGAGCAAGTTGAAATCTTGCAGCGAATCAGGGCAGTGGCTCTGCCTGAAGAACCTGCATTTGGTGACCGCCTGGCTTCCTGTGCTGGAGAAGGAACTTCTGAATTTGACCCCGCACGATTCGTTCCGGCTGTGGCTTACCGCGGAGCCGCATGGCAAGTTCACGCCCACTCTGCTGCAGAGCTCCCTGAAGGTAACCTACGAAGCTCCTCCGGGAGTAAAGAAGAACCTGGTGAGATCTTACACCATGTGGGGACCCGAGTACATCGCATCGGGGGGCGGCAACGCTCAACGCGCTCAAGCCCTCTTTGCTCTAGCCTGGTTCCACGCGGTCGTGCAGGAGCGAAGGAGTTTCATACCACAAGGATGGACAAAGTTCTATGAGTTCAACTTCGCCGATCTGAAAGCCGGAGCAGACATATTGGACCGCCTGGTGGCCATGGGCACGTTACGTTGGGACTACGTCCACGGCTTGATGGAGAATGCCATCTACGGCGGCCGGGTGGACAACAAGTTCGACCTACGTGTTTTGGTCTCCTACTTGGAGAATTTCTTCAATGGCGACGTCATCTCGGGCACATCCAAAAGTCACCGACCGCTGGGCCCCGGAATCAATCTGCCGACGTCGGCTGACTACAAAGAGTACCTGAAAATCATCAAGGGGTTCAGCGAAACTGACAAACCCGTGTACTTTGGTCTGCCCGCGAACATCGACCGCTCAGCGCAAAGAATGATCAGCGCCAACGTCATCAGCCAACTGAAGGTGCTGATGCGATCGCTTCAGGCGACCGAAAAGTTTGACCGCGACAAGTGGCAGAAGGAGCTGTCCCCGGTTCTGAACCTTTGGAAGAAGCTCAACTCAGACGTAAACCTGACGAAGCAGATAACGCGTCAGTCGCACCAGCGCATGTCAGTGAGTCAGGCCGAGCCAATCACGTCCTTTATCCAGCTGGAACATTTCAACGCGCTGTGCCTTGCCCAAGAGGTGCACCGTAGTCTGGCCAACGTCAGTAAGGTGATCCGCGGCACCATGCTGCTCTCGCCCGAGGTAAAGAAAGTCGCCGACAGCCTTCTGCGGAACGAAACTCCCGGCGCTTGGCAACAGACGTGGGAGGGACCCGAGGACCCCTTCCAGTACTTGCGCTCGCTGGTCAGCCGCACGCTTGCCTGCAAACGCTGGGTGCAGAAGGCCGAGTCGGGCTCGCTGATCAGCGAGGCGGTCGACCTATCAGAGCTCTTCCATCCAGACACGTTCTTGAACGCGCTGCGCCAGCAAACTGCGCGTATGCACAAAAAGTCCATGGACGATCTCGTGTTTGTCTCGTCTTGGGCCAAGATCGGGGTCGACTCCAAGATGCAGGTGAAGATCACGGGGCTGCAGCTGGAGGGCTGTGCGTTCGACGGCAGCCGGCTGACCGAGAGCCGCGCCGACTCGCCCAGCGTGACCGCGGCACCCGTCTGCACGGTGGCCTGGGTGCCACGTGACGCCGCCGCATCCCAGGTGCACGCCGACGTCATCAGCATGCCGCTCTACATGACGCAAGAGCGCGAGAAAGTGGTGGTGTGCCTGGACGTGCCCTGTTCGGGGGACAGTGGCAAATGGATCCAGTCTGGCGCGGCCATGTTCCTGAAGGACTGAGCGGGCTCTGTTGGTGTGGCGTAGTGAAATGCGACCAGCTGGCAGCTTGGGATGGAGGCAGTTGTGTTCCTGCTTGGCCGAGTTGTGCCTCTCGATGGTGTTTATCCCACCTGTGGGAGGGAACCAGGGCAGAGTAACCTTGTCAGCGGCTTGGTGTATATTATTGAGGAGTATGCTTGTGTTCGGACCCTATCCGGGTCGGCGGAATCGTGCCCCACGTCGATGATGTGGACAGGAGGTCCAGTTTGGCTTGTATGATGCTTCGAGACTGGCCTTTGTTGTCCGTAGCTGTGATGCACTGGATGTAATTCCCTGCAATACCTGTCGGTACTTTGTTTTTAGCGTTAACCTGGGGACAGAGCCAGTGCGTGGCGTCGCACTCCGTTTCTGTTATGCCAGTTTGCACTCAAATATAGGGTAGTTGAGCGCACTGAAGTTATCAGACTGCGTAGACGCATGTATCACGCCCGGCCGTGCTAAGACGTCGCCATCGAGGGCTGATGTTGCTTTCGCGGGGTGATTCCACAGTGTGTCTCAGAAACCAACAGAACATGTGATGTCAGTAAATACATGCGGTCACTCAGATCGGACAGATGTCTTAACAAGAGAGAGCGGCAAATATATATATATATATATATATATATATATATATATATATATATACATTAATGACTCATTCGCGTGAAAGCTTCCGAGACATGGCCCCCTCTCAACGAGGCCCACGAGTGATACGGCTAAAGCCAGCCGGTACATCTGTCAATTCCCAGGCAAGGGCGTATTCGAGTGGAAGAGCGGCGCTATATACAGCGGCGACTGGGCTTGGGACCACCGACACGGGCATGGCGTCTACACGGAGCTGTGTCCCAACACCTGCCAGATGATCCAATACAACGGACAGTGGTGCTGCGACAGGCGGGAGGTGAGCCGGCAGTGGTGCTGCGACAAGCGAGAGTTGAGCCAACAGTGGTGCTGCGACAGGCGAGAGGTGAGCCGGCGGTGGTGCTGCGACAGGCGAGAGGTGAGCCGGCAGTGGTGCTGCGACAGGCGAGAGGCGAGCCGGCAGTGGTGCTACAAGCGAGTGGTGAGCCAGCAGTGGTGCTGCAGCAGGCGAGAGGTGAGCCAGCTCCTCAACCCAGTCGACCACCGCACTGAGCCGCGCCGGGTTGGCAGCCACACCAGTATTGAGTTCGTGTGCTGACAACAATCTACAGTATGTCACCTACCACTTCATTAGTGAAGCGGTCTGAGTGGTCGAAGCAAATATATGGAGCAATTATTGCAAAATATTGTGAACGATATTAGGTGATCCCAGCAGTGGTCATGTCACAAAGCTTGTGTCTTCTATTCGTTCTTAGTCGCGAAAAGCAAATCGGTATGAGTAAGAGTCATTAGTAAAGTATCGCTAAAAGACGCCGGGAGGGGAAGGCTGTTCAGTAAACAACGTTAAACACGCTCATAAAGTAAGCAAAAAGACGGACTTCTCCCCAAAGTTGGCCCGATTTGTCCTCATCCCGAAGAGTTAAAGCCTTTTACCCCCCCCCCCCCCCCCACATCTCTTGTCTTGAAAAGAAACTAGGGCGATGACCCGACAGCAAATATTCGTCTCCTTTCACAAAAATACGCTTATTGAGTCATCGCGTATCACGGGTAGACCCAGTTTCATGCAGCAGAACTGAGAAACTACACACTAACATTACGACGTGCGAGGGAATGCATACTGGAAACGAAAGTAGTTGGACAGTGCATCCTATTCACGAATCACTAACGTAGCGAATTCCGGATGAAAATTGGCCCATCATGAGCGCATGCATTTCGCTACGCATTTAAGTATGCGCGTGACTTCATCTTACAAAAATAGGTTCTGGACGTGATACGTTGAAACGTAAGAAGCCAGCCAAATCATCGATGCACCAGGACCACCAAAGGCAATATGTATTTACCTCTTATTTTACCCCAGGAAAGGCCCTGGCCGGGTCCTCCTGCCATTGTGTCTGAAATAAAGTGACTTGTGAAATAAAGTGACGAGATTTGTAAAATGTTTGGGTGTATTTTGACGTGCTAAGTTAACTTCAACAAACACCGTCACGCGAACAGTGCGGTGGTCAGACGGCCATCAGCCGTCGGGCAACAGCTGACTGTTACCATTCCCAGAAGCGGTCGTAATATGGATCCGGCGCGACGGCCCTCCGTGTCGGTAACCACAACACGGTGGTCACGACAGGGCGACGGCGCGCAGTTCTATCCAGACGGCGAGAGCTACGAGGGCGAGTGGCGTCGCGACCGGCGCCACGGCTGGGGCCGCATGTTCTACAAGGACGGCAGCCTCTACGAGGGCGGGTGGAGCCTCGGCGTCCGGGAGGGCAGGGGCCTCCTGAGAAAAGGTGCGAGGGCCGACGTTGAACGGGGGATGTGATGACAGCGGCGGAAATGAATACAGTCGTAATATATCAAAAGGTTATCCAAGAGCAGTCCGTAGATGTTCCAGCAATGTCATATTGCGCTTTGTTAACGTATGGTAAGGTTTCGAGGTGCACCTTGACGCTGATTGCAACTGACACCGAACAATGTCCCGTGCCCAAAGTCTGTATTTCGAGCTTCTATCATTAATGTTCGGTTGCCACCAAGCGGACGGCAACATGTACGAGGGCACGTGGCACCGGGACAACAAGCACGGTCCCGGCCTGTACGAGCACACGCGCACAGGCCAGATGCAGGAAGGCATCTGGGTGGATGGTGTCGTCAGGTGCAGCGCGCTGGAGGACAAAAACAGACTGTTCGCCCTCAACGCCACCCCTTACCCCATACCGCCGGTGAGTGACCGACTCGTGACGACCGCAGTGTTGCGAGATGTACAGCAGGAGCTTCTTTGCGGCCCTGCGAGACGCACAGCAGAAGCTTCTTTGCGACCTTGCGAGATGTACAGCAGGAGCTTCTTCTGTGACAGGTATTAATGTCATCATGCCGTGAAACCACAGTCGCCATGAGCCGCTGACACTCCGTACTCAAACAACACACACCAGGCACAAATACAGTATGAGCCAACGGGCCGAGCCAGATGGGACTGTGCGCAGATACCGCCGCAAGTGTATCCCGTTCGGCGACTGTCCAGCGCTTTGCCGCCGGTGGCCCGTACTGACCGGGCGTCGTCACCCGCCGCCCGCAGCTGCAGCTGCTGGAGCCGGTGGCCGTGCTGCGGGACGCCGCCGCCCAGTTTGTGCCGCTCATCCCCGAACGCTACCGGGTCATACCGGAGACGGCCTCAGACAGCAGCTCCGAGTCGGTGGCCAGCCTCTACTCCAACTGAGTCGCCGCCGACGGCAAGATAGACACCCGCCGCGCAAATCCGCCAGTCATCACTTCATAGCGACTGTCAAGCACGGTCGCGCTTGAGCGGGTCTCGTCTAGTTAACAGTGAACGCGCATTGTTTTTGAAACACATTCGGAACTAAACTGCGTGCCACTCACCACTATCGTGCTCGCGGTGTACGCTGTCGCGCTCTTCTTGCGCGAGCTGGCTCGTTCGCTGAGGCGTGAAGTATAGCCCCGTATAATAAGACGCACATGTATTGAGGAATTGGTGACCGCGAACAACGCTCGTACCCAGCGTACGAACTGAAGAAAGGGTTTTAAAGACACAACATACTTTCAATCAGAACTCCGTCACACGCCGTATGATGTACACCGTACACTGTACACGTACAGTTTGACAATTGCCATCAATTAACTACTTGTAAAGCCTTACAGTGGTGACGGCACCACCTTGAAGTCACTTGAATCTACCAAATGATCGAATTCTTTGAATACTGATCGCATTGCACGTGCGACTGATCATTTGATGATAGAGCGGACGACTCCTATACCACCTCACGATTAACATGGAGATTCGAGCAGTCGCGCTCCGGTCTTGATACAGAGCTATCACATGGTGGGGGTCGGCGTCGACAGGCCGTCGCCGCGTATAGGCAGCCTCGCCGGCCGTCCCCGCCACCCTCACACGATGTGGTCACTGTTCGCGTACGTGCTCTCTGTGTTGGCCGCCGGCACCGGCTGGTCCAGCTGACCCTTGAGCTTCTCCAGCTCTCGGATTCCCGACTCGGTGATCTCGTACTTGTGCGTTACTAGCTTGCGGTAGAAGTGCAGCGCGAACAGCGCGAAGATGCACACGATGGGCACGAGCAGCGCCGTCGACGCCCAGGCCGCCTCTTGCGACACGTCGAAGAACTTGACCCAGCAGAGCAGCGCGATCTCCACCATGAACAGCATCAGCCCGACAACTGTGGAGAACACCCAGGCCATCTCGATGTAGATGTGCATCTTGGCGTGCGGCGACTCGTTGACAGCCGACATGGCGTGCATGCTGCTGACCGCCTCCACGTGCGGCAGGATGCAGGTAGAGATCATGAGCGCCAACATGTGGATGGCCACCAGCAGCGTGGTGCACATGGCAAACGCCACCAGCAGGCCGGTTGGGATGTTCTTGCTCAGCTGTACCTCCACCATCGCCACCTGCACGCCGGCAGGGGATCACCGTTCAGGGAGAGCGAGCTGACAGCATGCGGGTGGGTCGTTGATACACATCTCTGGGAGGTCGGTACCGAGGAACGCTTAGCGTACTTAAGACAAAAAAGGTTTGTGAACGCGCTGCGCTGTAGGTCAAGCCAGTCATGTTGGCGTTTGTCGGATTGAGCACGAAATGGTGCTGGTCAGACCGAATGTCACGCTTTGGTGAAACTGGGATAGGTCGCTCGCACATTGCATTAGTTTTATTCGTGCCGTTACGCTGCGGAACATGAGACCTTGAGTCAACATGTCAACACACCATGGCGAAGCCGGAGAGCAGGGCCGAAGTCCGACTGGAAGCCTTCAACTTGGCTCGGCTCAGGTGCAAATTACGCCAGGCCAGGAAGAATGTGTGGTTTACGCTGTCCCCGGCCATGGCTGGAGTCTGATTCTGCAAAACGACGACAGGGCTGATTGCGCGCAGTCGCGCCGTGTGCTAACAGGGCTGATTGCGCGCAGTCGCGCCGTGTGCTAACATGGCTGATTGCGCGCAGTCGCGCTGTGTGCTAACAGGGCTGATTGCGCGCAGTCGCGCCGTGTGCCAGTGAAAGACGGGATCAGTGGTAGGACGGACACTGAGCCTGCCTAACAATGCGTCTTTTCATAATATGTATAACAGAGTTCAGAGGTTCTGGGACGTAGCTGACATCAGGCTATATGGGGACACCCCTTCATGTCTTCTCCAGATATCCCCTTCGATTTGGTAGTGCACGTGAGCTTACGTCAGGGCATGCGTAGTCGAGCCCGATCCACCAATTCTAACTCAGGTGAAGCATATTTCACATTCCATGCATTGATATATCTAATTTGAAGGGAAATACTCGCATGCAAATGCAAGCATCCATGGACAGAATGCGTAATGAGGCACATGTACAAAGTAAAGCTCAGCGATTTTACAGCATTGAGTTTCCGTTTCCTCCAGTTTTTCAATTTCCAGAAAGGATGAAATAACAACTGACAAGCCCCCACAGCATCCCACATGCCAGCCCGCACTCAGCGTCGCTCATAAAGCCCACGACAATGGTCCCAAAACTAAGGGCTGCAATGGAAGCCAGCACAGGATGCATGGGGTCAAAAATTTTGACATCCATTCGGCGGCCATAGGAACCCAAACAGCAAATGAAAAACAAACATACTGCTAAAAGCCACTCCAAAATTAAGTCCCTGCGCCTCGAACCACGATCAGTTACTCGTTCAAGAACTTGGACATGCGGCTGAAACGAAACGCAACGCAGTCTGAAACTATCAAAGAGGTGGCGGACTATACGTACTACGCCATAATAGGTGGCCGAGGCGAGCGGTCCAGGTCTTGTTAGTTCGTAGTGGGCCGGTCCGCCGTAAGGGTTCAGTCCCGACACGAGACTGTGGTTCTCGGACGTGGCGTCGCTATAGACCATGGCTAGCTGGATCCCACACCAGGCACACAGAGTACGTGGTGGCCGGATCACCCACCAAGGACATGGTCTGGAGGCCTCCGCTCCGACACCGGATGCTCGCGCTCTACACAACGAGAGTACAGCGTTACTGGCAGAACCCCGACCGGGGTTCTCTGGGCGCACAGGTACAGCCAAGCCCCACATCTCCGGAGCCATCTGCCCGTGGGAAAGTGTAGTGAATGTGGTAGTGGAGGACTTGGAGACCGTCATGTGCTCATGCCGCTGGATAGCGATAACAGCCTAATGAAACTGGGACAGGGAAACATTTGTTGCGCTGTATGATGTAAGAGAAGTTGTGTCACTGCTGAAGAAGTACCCATACCAGACATGCCATGCACATTTACTCATCCTGCATCCCAAATTACATCAGTTCCTACTTACCAGGGTTGTAAATGAAAAAGTGCACAGCCTTCTCACCACCACACAATTTGGTTTTGTTTGGCCCACATTTAAATGAGCAGTTTGTGCGACCTTGAAAGCACCTTGATACACTGCATGCACAAAACTATCAAAGATTAACGTTTTTCAGGCAGACTCTTGTGGCAACAATGGTGCTCCAGTGGCAAAAGATGTCACTTGCAGTGTGCCATCTAAGATTGTGTGGCAAACATTTACATGAGTAATATTTGCAGTTATGATGTCTGCAAGGGAATTGACATGCACACATGCTGGCAACAGATGTCTTTTCACAAGTGATCTTAAGTTGGCATGCACAGTCGGCCTAACAAGTATCGCCCGCGACCTAGGGGACGGCACTGCTTGTTCGTAACACCGTGTGAGGTCTTGGCTTGGCTTGAAAAGCAGTGGGAAATGGATTTTTCAGTGTTCACATGGTTGTGTGTCCCACTCCACACAATCAGGGCAAGGTGGGCTCCACACACTTTGACCAACTCTAAGCATGGCTAAAAGGCATTAATATTGTGTGGGCAAACATTGGCCATTGAAAGAAACTACGTCGGCGTCGAACCATCTGTTTAGTCGGTTTCTGAGATCTGTTGAAGCTTTTGCACGATCGTGCAGCAATCGGAAGTGAAAGTAAAAAAAAAACCCGTTTGTCACCTAATTCGAAAGTCCGTCCAAATTAGTACAACAAACGATTTCTGCATGGGGGGTGGAATATGATTAATACAGTTTTCTATTTGACCTTAACGGGGCGCGCTGGCGCACGCTCTGACATCATAAGAAGTCATCCCACTGGCTATGTGCTGGCGAGGTGAGCTGACTAACCCGGACCAAGACGCGGCTGGCCCCGGCAGTGGGCGAAGCCCGACCGTAGTTAGTGGCCATGCTCGCCCAGGTTGACTCATAAGACTGTGTTATGGCCCGTCAAAAAAACAGTTGTTCACTGATTTTGACTGGAACGTTTCAGGAATCGCCTCGTGCACTTATATCGTCGATTTCATAAAATTGATCTTGATCGCGCCAGATTTTCAACGGTCATCCAAAAACTTGACAGGATGAGGGGTTTGATGCTGATAGCAGCTTTGCTCTCAATGGCCAGCACTCATCTACACATTCATGCAAGATCTTCACATAATCTACATTTTTATCCCGGCACGATTTAGTGCTGATTGTTCGTGACGAACTCAGGGAATTAATGGTCGGCAGTGAAAGCGATTCGTCATGACAAGCATTGTCAGATTATCAAAGCAGACAGCAGTAAATGAGCACAACTGAGGTCACACTGCAACAGGCTGGGCTGCTGCAGTTTTTGATTCAGTACTGATCTAACAATTCAGAACACACCAGCTGACACTGCAATACCCTGTGGTGGGACCAAACCAGCACTACTCACAGATTATGTTTGGTGGTGGTTTAAAGGCGTCCCACCTTGTTGATCCCTCTTTCCCCTTTGGGAACTTTTGTTTAAGTCTAAACATAATCAACTACATCATACCAGTGCAATTCAGGTCACTTGCAAGATGTCTCCAAGTTATGTTATAATATTGTGGGGGGGGGGGGGGGTCAAACAGTACCTCACACATATGTAGGTTTACAATGACAGCATTGCTGGGTGCTGAGATGGGGGACAGGTGTAATACTATAATATGACAAGACAAGGCCCCATATCACCCATTCATGTCAGACTGCTTGCATTCTGAATTTTTCATGCAACATCAGCACCAAGTGACAAAAGTAATCAGCTGATTCCCAACCAGGCAAATTTTGATGCTATATATAATATCTTACAAGATGCAAGTCAGGGTACTTGAGGCAGCATTGCATCCCTGACCAGTTTACAAACAAAGTCTGTTAATATTTCAGGCAAACTTTTCACTCACCCTTAAACATTGTTCCAGACAAGTTGTGGTGCCTACTTGCTAGCAGCTGATACTTAACAAACTGTATTACAGCTGGTTAAAGTGGTAAGAGCATCACACAACATGGGCCCCAGCCTGAGCCTGGGAGCCCATTCCCCAAGCAAGGACAAGGTAAGGACCATTGGTTTACATTGGTCAGTGCACCCCAAGCCAATGAGGGGCCCCTGTGCCTGCCAGGGGCACACTTCGCTTAACCGGAAGTCCGGTGTTGACAAGCGCCCCCAGTTGGTCAGGGAGTTTATGTGGGTACCCAAAGAGGAACCGATGTACCTTTCAAGACTGGTGATTGTGGGCTCAATGGGAAGGCTGAATGGCCATAAGGGTTGAAAGGCTGCAGGTCATCCTGGCCTGTATGGCTGTGACCCCAAATATCAGCCAATATGCCTCTTTCACCAATTCTGGACCACTGGGACAATACGGGCACGTATTTCGGCCGGAGACCACTACACCGAATAGTCGACTTCGTGTCGTTCTGAGCCCTGGGGCCACCATTTCTATAGCAGGAATGAGTCCGAGGCCCACGGCTCGCATTGGTTGGATTCCCTACTACAATGAGTGGTCTTTTGACGGTCAGACCTCCGGAGCGCTCAACGGGAGGTTCTGTGCTGGAAGAAGTCCTGAGTCGGCCATGGGTGACCCGGGACCCTTGCAGGCCCTTCATCCCACTTTAGCCAAGGGCCCATTGGCCAAACATGGGTCTGCACCATTTATGGGACCACTTGAAGTTATCAGGCATGTCATTGCACCAATGAGGGCTCTTGTGCCTATCCCAGGTCAAATTCCCCAGCCAGAGGCCACCAGAGGGCCTTTGGCATCAGGGAGGGTGGCAATGTAAGATTTATACCTGTGAGGCCTTTTGGACAAATGTATCAGGCGAACCTGCCTCCATGTCGCCATAATGGCAGCTGGTAGACACCCAGGGGGCTGGGACAGAATGATGTAAAAGGAATTTCCTGGAGGGATAGTGTGCACCTAACTTTTCACTAACTGATTGTGACTTTCAGTAGAACACACCCCAGAGAAAACAAAAAGAGAGAAAGAAAAAAGTAAGGATTCATTCCACTTAGCAGTGAAGCAAGTTGGCATCATCATGCCACAATGATAAACCACAAAGCCACCCACTAACAGCAGCTGTCATCCAGGTTCAAGCCCAGGCCTACCACATTTGAGATCTGCATACTAACCATCCATCCACCGGGGATACCGGCCCAATAGCTGAAAATTTGTGAACAGAAAAGAACCAGCTCAAAGTGGGTTGATGGGTTTCATGATCATCTCATGCCTGTGACATATTGAGCTAACTTTTTGTGCAGGATTCTGCATGCTTTCACTTGCTGCCTTCCAAGACTGGCAATCCACATATGCTTGATGCATACAACCACCTGAAAGATTTTTGGAGGATGTATAAGCCTGGTGCATAGCCACAGCAGGTGCATATACACCCATCCATTTTGGAGGGTGTATATGCACAGCCAGCCTTGATATGATTTGAAGGACTGTCCATATTGTCCTTGGAATTTTATGAAAACACAAAATACCTGCTCTATCACTGGGAAATTTGGAGGCATGTCAAATACATAATCACAATCAAGTTGAATAAGTCGCAACAGAATACAACAGATGTTTTTAATTGTGGAGGGTGTATATTGATATACATGTGGTTCCTGATATACATGTGACATGCCCTTCCCCTCATAACACTGCTACCGTTAACGTGAGGGCGAATCAAGTCGAATAACGCACAAGTACAAATACAAGTCGATAAATTTAATACATATGACATACACAAATCTCCTTACACGTCTGCGCGCAGTATCTGCTATGCACAATTAAGCGTTACCCGGACACAAACACCCGCGTGCAACCTACTCGCATCTGCCGACTTCAACGCCATTCACCAGTTGCCTCACTGGTCGTCGGTCATGGCGCATTTGGTTCAATTAGTAAGCCCAGTAAACCTCCATTCTGGTGGAAATTATTTTACCAATTAATGATGTCATATGTACCAATACCGGCCAGAAAAGCCACCAAACATGCCTATAAAACTTTTCAATTTGTTCTCTTGAATACATACAATTCGTTTTATATTTGATTCAGTTCATGAATCCAGGTAAATCAATGGCAAATATGTGCATATTTCGACGTGCTCACCGTTGCATGAGAGCATTAATAGCAATGGAGTTAACTTGTCAGACCTTGACTGCAAAAATAAATATTTTGGTATCGAGAGGAACTCTGGAGGGCGGCGTTCAGGGCAGGGCATTGTGTACGTAGATCTGTATTTTAGGTTGCGTTTGGAGGTGGCGTAGGCTGCACGGTTCATGAGGGCAGGTTCCAGGTTCCCCACACGCGATTGAGGGAATGGCCTCAGGTGGAAGTTTGGATAAGGTATGAATTTCTCACTGAGTGATCAACATGGTCTTTCAAAGTATCGTTCTAGATCTCCACTGATGTATGTCCGTAGTCGTTACGATGGTCCATTGGGTTCATTGATACCTGTGTCTTGGGCAAAAGTGGAAAAATGCATGGGTGGATCCCAGGAGCTTGGTTTCCTGTTCGGCTGAAAACTTGCAGCCTTCACAACTGCAAGAAAACATGAGACATCTTGGGCAGAAATTCATTTCTGGCATAGCTTGGGATTGGGTTTAACCATGTACAGATTTCCTAGAAACATTATGCCCCTTGTGCATCCCCATTGGGATTTAGTGCCATAATGCACCCATTGTTGGATGGACTGGGAATTAATCTACATCCACATCCATTGTATATACCACATCAGTGTGCTGAACCTCATACTTAACTGTACCAAAATCAGGCCAGGCTAAAGTGTGCCTGATCTTAAATTATTTTTCTGTGAAAAGTGAGTTAATCTTTGAAATGTGTTTACAGGAAAGTATATTAACAACATCACAATTTCTTGAAACACTGGCTCTATGTGCTGGAACTATCTGTGACTGTTGCCAAAGTCTAAGCAATTAATTTATAGCGTGGCTATGCCAGACATGTATGGGATAAGATGCATTTTTTGTAGTTTGCATTGGGCCAACTTTGTTATCACTGTCTGGGGGCCATCAGCTACAGAAACAAAGCAGATCATGGGGCTGTGAGAGGAGTTTGTTATTATTTGTATGGCACTGCTGATTGTAATTCCTAAATTTGAATAGGACCAGTCATCTAATGCAGTTTCATTCTTGCCTTGAAATGCTCTGTTTTGAACTAGTTGTGGTTTCCATAAAGCAATTATTGATGATAAGTAAGGATAAATTGCCTTATATATGGTAGACTTAATATCCCAATTATTATATCTTAGTTTGGAAACCAACCTAAGTGATGATATTGGTAGTAATGGTAGTTTATGGAATGATAACCAAAAATTTGCCAGTTAGCTCCCCATCTGCCATTGATTGAAGGTAGCCAATATTGTTGATATGAGGGTGCAATGATCCTGGTATTTGTTGGCATGATCAAATACTTTTATGATCCTATTTGACAAAAATGAGGAGCCGAATTTCTTTTCAATTAGAAGTAACTCCCTGTCCACAATGTACAGGGTACAAGCAAACTTTGTTCAACATCCTGAGGCTATGAATGCTGAGAGATGCAGCTAGATGAGATGAGAGGCAGTGCTAGATTTCAGAAGTTCCTTTACTTAAATTTTACATAAATGTTTTACATCTTTAAATATTGATATAACACATAGTAGATGCAGAGATGTTCAAAATATAAATGAATCCTCAGACACAACTTTATAGCATCATAAGTAAGTAGGAAGTGAGTCCACTTTGGCAGATCTAACAGATAGAAGTTATTGCTCTTAGGAGACTAGATTCTGATCTCACACTATTGCCATACTGTGAATGATTCACATAAATTAACTGCTTTTCAGGTGGGATTGGCTCAGTGTTGGACCTGGTAATTCCCCTAGCTATCATGAAGATGACTCACCTGGTATTGGACAGTCTGCATGCCTGCATTACAGCAGATACCTGTGCTGTTTTAAAGCTACAGTGATCATTCATGTAAGGATGTGTCTTGTCAGGTTTGTTGATGCAGTATTGTGTTTGAACTTCTTTTGTTGCAATTGCATAGGACCAAGATCAGCTGCTGCTGTTTATGTGAAGCTGGTACAAAATGCTGTATGTTATCCTTTCAGTGGTGCAGTGTACTGTGATAATCAGTTCATTGATAGAAAAGAAAAGTCTGTTGGCTCAATCAGTAGCAGCCAAGTTGAATACAAATCAACTCATTGTTTGCAGGCTGATGACTTTTAGTGACAGAATATTGGCTGGATTTTATTTATTGATGTGCATATTTGTATTTGTGTTATGGAAGCATTGCCTGCCCTTTTATTGAAACAGATGGGCTCACTCCTGTTGATAAGTCTAATTACACAAGATTCAAACAACACATGATGTTTTGATTTGCACACATTCTTTTTCAGCTTCCTATCTACTCATCTCTAGGTCAACTATGTTGCCAGTGCTGTTACTGTCTGCCTTTTACTACAATGCAGGTCAGACATATTGATAAAACTATGGTGAAACTAAAGACATATGTGTAATTTTGGATCTGTTCACAGGGGTTTCTAAATTTCTAGTGTATGTCTTGATCCTCTCAGTACTTTATAATTGAATTATGTCAAAGCTTGCAACACAGAACCCACAAAACGATGCCAGGCTTGCAGAAAATTTGGTTTACCCATTCCTTCTTATTTTTGTGGGGTTCTTCCTTTGGCAGCAAATTCTGAGTTCAGTGTGTTTTTGAAAATAGGTAATAACATGCAGCAAATGGAGTCAGTACTCTTCAGCTAGCAAGTGATTGCAACAATTGAATTCTTTCTCTTTCCAACATGTTTGCTAATGCATGTCAGTGTTTCATCACAAATGCCCATGTTAGCAATGTTGGCCATCAATATATGCATTCTTCAAGACTATGAGACTCAAGCAAAATCTTTCATGACATTTATTTCTGAACAACACATTCATGCTTGGCATATTTGCCTCAGCTATGGGCATGTATACACAGGGTTTTTGCAAGGAGAGATCCAGTAAATTACTCAGAGAGATACCAGTAAATTGGTCATGAGGACTCTAAAGGGAGCAGCAGCTGCAGACCTCCACAAAATCATGTTGTGGGGCTGTCATACTAGATTTAACTTTGTTATAAATAATACAAAATTATATACCTGTTAGTCTCACTGATCATTGTTATCAATCCCCAGGCTCCACATTTTTAGGAAGAATTGTGGGCTGGTATGTTTTTTTTCTCCTGTACACTCCTGTTGGTTGGGAATTTCATTGAGCAAAGCCACAACTTTTGTCACTTTTTTGTATCCCAATGATTGCATTACTATGGGCATGGGCCACAAAGGCTGACATGGGCCACAAAGAGACCAATTTGGCACAGAGTGTATTCATTTGTGGCATCTTTGGATAGGGCTAGTGGACGAAACAAAATAGTGTGTCATCTGCTCACATGTTGGGATTAAAAAGCGATGCCAGTGCAGTTTCACTGGGTGAGACTGCCTAGTGCTTAAAATGTGCAACATGCTGGCAGCATTCTACACTCAGAACAGCTAATAAATGTGCGTTGCGTGGTGCTCTGCTGCGTGCCTCACTCTCTGTCCGCTGGCTCTCTCAATCGCTGACGTGTCCGGTGCCGCTGCCGCCGCAGCCGCCGCCGGGCATTCGGCGCCACACTTCTACGGCGACCCGGCCGAGAACGTGAGCTTGCCGTGCCCGGGGTGGACCGGCGGCGACGCCGTCTGGGTGCGCGACGGCCGGGCGCTGGCCGACGCCGCGCCCGCCCCCGGCGGCCATCTGCTAGTCCGGAACGCGTCCGCCGACGACGAGGGCCTGTACGGCTGCGCGCCGCACGCCGACGCCGCGCCCAGCGACATCTTCTACGTGCATCTGCTGCTTAGACGTGAGCAGCGCAGACGTGGCAGGACCGGCGACTGGACGTCGATGATGCACGGGGCTGCGAAAGACGGTTGAGATCAGGGAAAGTGGCTGTGCCGATCCGACTTCAGCGCTTTTGTTAATGTTTGCTGTGGTGTGAACGGATGCAGTTTATTGGTTTCAGAACATTAAGTGGCCTGAGTCTCAGCTGGCATGCATACTGGATTTTTACCACTGCTGTCGTGAATCTTGGATGAACTTGCGCTCTTCCATACGTTACGTTGAGGTGGCTATTGCACGGCGCCTGTCACCCAGCCCCATGCCGTCGCAAGCCCCGGTCAGTGTCTTCCCATGCTATCTGCCGTGGTGCGGTGTGAGCGCGGTGGCCGCCAGTGGGGACCGTGGGGGCCGACCACACACGGTGCAGCTGCTCTCCGCCCGCCCGGTGGCACTGGGCAAGCTGGAGTCCAGTCTGAGTCGTGCGCGTGCCGCCGGCAGGCCTGCCTGGACCGCTGGCGAACGTGCGTGTGCGCGCGCACACGGTGCTAGCCGAGCTGTTCTGGCACGCCAACGACACGGGCGCGCTGCCTCTGAGTCGGATCGGGCTGCGCTACCGAGCCAAAGACGGTGCCCACTGGAAGCAGCCCATCCCGCCGCACGTGGCACCCTCCGAGGTACGGTATCCCCCCCCCTCCCCCTCAACCTCACTCGCACAGCGCCGACGAGGGAACGGTCCGCCCCCCCCCCCCCCCCCCCACTCACTCGCACAGTGCCAACGGAGATTCGCTCATTCCCAAATCGTTTTGCGCCTTCTGGGGGGGGGGGGGGCGGGAGGGGGAGGGTATCGTGTACTTCTTATGTCACGTTATCCCGTCTGAAGTTCGGGAAAACACTGAATGTTTATTCCCAGCTCTCCGATGATACGTGTCCCGTTGGTGTCTCCGTGTAGGATGCATTCCACAGTACCCAACGTGGGTTTCCCTGAGCCATGGACTATCTTACGTGGTGCAGTCCATCGGCTTACGTGAAATACCGATGTGGTACGAATTTATGGGAATGTCTTAAGTTGACTTATTTGGCTGTGCCCGCTCATGCTCTCTTGTGTGTGTACACCATTCTAGGACCTCATCATTCAACTGGTCACGGCTGTGATTTGTCGGTTGTGAGCAGGCTGACGTGGTCTCTTCAGGCTCGTCGAGTGACGGCGGCATGTTGGGTCACGGTTTTCAACAGGACGTGTCTGAAACCATTGTAGCGCGGCGGTTTAATCAACGTTGTAAGCGGCACGACCGCCTGTGTAGACCTGTGCACGAATGCAACTGATGCAGGCAGGCCTGGAATCATGCCAGAAGACCCGACTCGCTGTCCCAGGGTGGTGCTACGTGCTTGTACCTCCCCCCCCCTTCTCCCTTCAGCTGAGCAGCCATCCCAGCGTAACTGGTAGGGACCATCGCGCCCATAGCAGATCTGATGCCTGGAAGCTGTGTCCGGTGCAGCTGTCATCCGCTCGCGTTCTCACTGACGCGACCTGCCGGCCGGGCTGACCTCGCCTGATCGGGGATGACCCCGTCCGCAGGCCCACCGCGAGCTGTACGGCCTGCGGCCCAACACCACCTACGAGTTCCAGCTCTGGGCCGAGAACCGGCTGGGCCCCGGGCCGAACGTCACGGTGCGCGCCACCACGCGCGCCGACCTCAGCCGCAGCGGTACGTCGGGCGCCGTCGACGTGCCTCCCCCCACCGCCGGTGGCGGAGCAAGGGGTCACGCGGGCGCGGGCTCGGCGCTGCACGGGCGGGTTTGTCGGCGGCTCGCCTGGCGCCTGGTCCGTGAGGCCGCATTCTCAGAGCTCTCAGGCAGTGCTGCAGGGACGTGGGTCAGCTGTTCAGGCCGGCGGCGACGATCAACTCGTGGCCTCTGTCGAACCTTTAAGTCTGGGGCTCGGATCCAATAAATGGTTTCTTTGCGGCAGCGGCATTGAGGTGCTTACATGATAATTAAATCGTAGGCTTTCGACGCATGGGAGGTGGCACAGCTCATTGGATTGCTGGGGCGTCCGTCTGCTGCCGTGGACTGTGGCGTAAGTTCGAGCCGTGAACCAAGGTGGTAGAAACTTGGACTGGCGTTTCGCCTTCCCCGCAACCGTCGGCGCGGGGCTGTGTGTGCAAGGCTGTGCCCGTTAATTCTACACACGCCGAGGGATTCTATGCCACGGCCGGTGTTCGGCAGACGTGGCGCGGGGCCTTGTGGCCGAGGCCCTGGTGCTCGGCTCCGAGAGCTGGGTGGCGGCCGTGGTCGGCTCGCTGGTCGTCGTGCTCCTGGTGGCCGTCGGCGGCGCCTGCTTCGTCTACCGCAGCCAGCGCGTGGTGCCCGCCAACGGTCAGTGACGGTGGCGAACGCTCCGGCTCGTGCTCAGGCGCGATGGTGGCGCCGGATGGGCTGGCTATTCCGAGCAGATTGTGGAGTGAAATGAAGCCATGACCGAAGGTGGTGCTCAACCGCTTTCACTATGGGTCGACGGGTCCGGGTCTTGCCGGGTAATGCTTCGGTCGGCTGCTATCAGCTAGGGGATATGCCACTCCAAGCGCCATCACCATTGGTAGCTGCACTAGTGGCCCGCGGCTGAACCCTTGTGGCTTTGGTATTTGCGGTGACCTACCGAGCTATGGTGATATTCGTGCTTGGCTTTATAGAGGTACAGTCCAGTCACCATGTATATCACCGAATGCCTGCTTTTCCTGCGCCCGGCTGTCTGGCTGATAGCTGCCGGCCACCAGCGGCCGCCCGCCTGCCGCTGGGTGGGCACGGAGCCGTGTCCCTGACGCCTTCCGCCTGCCGCAGGCGACAGCACCGAGGGCATGGAGCTCGTGTCGAACCTGCAGCAGCCCGGATACGAGCTGGAGGTGCTGGAACAGGACGAGAACTCCAACAGCCAGCGCGCCCACCTGCTCAACAACAACGTCGAGGTCCACCCGGTGCGGATCTGAGTCGGTCTTTCAGCGGCGCGGTGCGCCCCAGCCCTGGGCGGCCGCGGCCCGTGCACTGCCCGGGCCGGCCAGCGGCGGAGCAGCCTCGGCGTCGTCCCACGTGGCTCGGTGTCTCCGGCCCGCTGCAGCTGCGCCGGCCGGCACGTGCTGCGCGGCAGCGGCACCGAGTGGTGCTCGTTCTGAAGATCGCGCTTAGCGCCTGCACGGTCCCCCGAGTGGTCGGCTGTCTGCAGTGGATTTCAGGCAGGAACGGTGTAACGTGAGAGAAACGTGCATGAGCTCTTGAATGTGTGCGGTAGCAGTGTAGTTTGATATAAACGCATGTGAGCTCACCCCAGTGGGCAAAAGAGTGGTGTATTGCTCGGGGAAACTCGATTGTGACGTTTGAACTTATTGGTTCATCGACTCATTCCACGGCGCAGTGCAGTTCCCAAGGGTGTAATGTAGGTTGCGTAGTCTTGATATAGTGCAATGTTAGACGCTCTTTGTGACTACATGCTTGATGTTGGTCCCGCTAACGCATGTACACGTGTCATACTCCAATGGCATTGTGCGGTTACGTGGTAACAAGCTTACGTCGTAGCAAGCTTTTGTTGCATAATGTTAGACAGGGGCACGCTCTGAGTGGATACCGAAGATACTTGTGATGTGATTTGGATACAGGTACCGTGATAACCAGCCTCTAGATTTACTGACACGCAGTCGTAGGGTGCCTACATTTTGGTCATTTTTGACTTTGTTGCGCGTTTGTGCCGTCTTCGGTGTCTCGGTATTGGCGTTCTTCATCAGACGAGTGCACGATTATGGGCGCTTTGATATTGTCGTGTTTTGGGTGATTTATTTATGCTCTATCAGAATGTCTTGCCGACCATTCACTTGGCTACGCACCGGTCAGTGTTTTGGGCAATTTATTTATGCTTTATCGGAATCTCTCACCGGTATTCTGAAACGAGCGATCTCTTGCCAGCTCAAAAAGGTTTCCAACCATCGTGCGGCCCGTCGTGTGGAAGGAACAAAGTTACAGCGCCGAATAGTCCTATTGGGAGTGTGGTGATGCATGGTGCTTTGCTTTGTGATGTATGGCGTCATAATATTTTGCGAGCGAGTCTCATCCATATACATGGAGCTCTAGTTTGATATTGTGTGACATCATAATATACGTCAAACCCTCAGGTCTGATGTAAACTCGTACATGAGACGAATCCACGGTTTTTGATAGCCAGGGTGTTTATAGTAGGTTATTGATATTGATATCGGGAGGAATTCATACTGCTGACCGAAGATAGAAGCCAGATGTGTTCCGAAAAGCCTTAAGTACGTTATGGTATTCTAAGACCTAACCATTTTGCCTAGAAACACAGGCCCATGCCACCTTGGGTGGTTGCTAAAAAATAATGCTGCTGTGTGAACAGCGCGGGATATGCGTATGCCTACACATTTGCGCATTGTTTGGCGCGTCATGAGGGGAATCTATGCCCAAGGGCGTTGGAACGTCTCAAATATGGCAGGGTTAAATCGCGTTCTCCAGCCGGTTCTTCCCATCCACCGCCGTAAGGTTTGATTTAAGCCCTCACAAAAAGCGGCAAGGCAAAGCGATTCCGTGGGCTCGCCAGCTCCCATCCACAGCTCGGATGCCGTGTTGCTTGGTCTTGCAACGTCTGGCATAAGTTCCCGAAACATTTCAAAACGCTTTCGCTCAGCAGACTTACAAAACCCACAGGTGCGCATTCGAGCTGCGGGGAGCATCTGAGCGGCCGGACGTGATGTGTTTAGCCGCGGGCGCTTGCCAATGACGCAGTGGACGGCCTTTGTGTGCACTGCAATTGTGCAGCCATGAGACCGACGCCTCCGCTATTACTCAGAAAACTAGCCTGATTATTGTACCGGACGTGCGGCGCATGCCCGGCGCCGAAATCAGGAGGTGCAACATTTCTCTTTTTGTTTTTCGCTATTCGAGCGCACCTATGTTCCGTGTCCGACTGAGGAAGGAAATGCCGTCTCGGTCGTGGAGGCGTCACGCCCCTGGAATGCTTCAGTGGTCATTGCCCAACACGACCAACGCTCGTGGCGTCTCATGGTGAAAAGCCAACGGCTCTGGATTTCTGGCGAAATGCATCTGCACTTGCCAGTGCTTGCCAATCGAGGTCATAATTTGGGTCAGACACGGTCGTGCTGCTTTTGCTGCAACAAACTTGAGGAACACGTTTCATAAATGAGCTTCTTGGCAAAAGATCACGCCCAAGCGAATTGAAACTGGACAGTACACAAGCTGCTTCTCCTACAACAGATTTGCTTGCTTCTTCCGCTTTCAGCCCCGTGAGCGACTGTGGCCCCCTCACTCCGACAAGCCGCGTGCCTGCTTTGGCCACTGTGTGAAACACATCACTATGCATCAACTTTATTGCGGTAAATAAACATAACGTTGTGAAGTGACAGCGAAATCTGACTGAACAGCGAAACCCCAAACACAACGAACCCAACAGCGACGCAAAACAGCGCGTCATCAAAAGTAAGCACACGTGTAACAGCAGCGCTCCAACATCGAGCCTCCACCTAACAGTAACAAGGCATTGCAGCAAATTGTGGATGCCGAACACAGGGCGACGCGTTCAACTCCGGCTAGGCTATAGTAAGGTTGCTACAGAGTTTCGGAAATATCAATGCGCATCGATAGGTGGGCGTAGAAAGCGATTCGCAGCTGCGGCGGAAGCAGCCATGGACGGTCGCGTTCAGCAAGACTAAAGCGGTACCATCCGTCAGTAGGTTCATTGGTCAGAGATATTGTCAAGCTATGCCGGTTTGCATTCTAGGATCGCGACTGCCACCACCATCCCGTCCCCGAACCGCCCATACCAGGCGGGAGGTGGGGGGAACACTGTGCCGCCTACTGGTGCAGCACGAACACGTGATTCTCGCCGACGAAGGTCTGATCGGTTCTCGGCTGGAGCTGCATCACGCCAAGCTCGGCGCTGGAGAGCGAGCCGGCCGCGGCCTCGCACAGCTCTCGGCAGCGTCGCATCAGACGGAGCGCACCGGCGCCGGACGGCCGGTCAGCCGGCGCCCCGCGGCCGGCCAGCAGCAGCAGCGCCCGGCGGCAGAGCCGCTCGGGCGCCAGCGCGCCACCCGCCCGACCGGCCAGCGCGCGCAGTGTGCCGGACGTCAGCTCGGCCGCCGCCGCCGGGTCGAGCCGCTCGCCCGTGAGCAGCAGCAGCAGGCGGCGGTACAGCGACTCGGGCACCACAGTCGGGCCGAAGTCCTCCTCGCCGAGTAGGCTGGCCAGCTGGCCGTACAGCAGCCGCCAGAGGGCGCGTGGCGCCCCGGTCGGCCGCGCTCTAAGCAGCGCCAGCAGCGGGTGCGCCCCCCGCGGCACCGAGGCCGGGCCTCCGCCACCGAGCATCGTCAGGTGGAGGTCGCCCGGGGTCTGGGCGGGGACAGCCGGCAGGGTCAGCAGCAGATCGGGCGAGTATCCCGGGACGCCGCCGCTGACGCGCGGGACGTTCGGACCGCCGAACAGTGCCGTGAGCCGGCGGTCCACACCCGCTGGCACTGTGCCACCGTCTACACCAGTGGAGCCAGTCAGCAGCGACAGCAGGACACGGACCACGTCCTCGGAGACGGCCGCCGGCTCGACGCTGGCCGGCCCCGCCAGCAGGAGCGTCAGCACGCGGCGCAACACGTCCGCCGAGGCCGGTACCGCCACCGGCCGACCGGCGAGCAGACCGAGCAGCGCGCGGTACCGATCGACCGGGTCGACGTCGGGCCAGTCGGGCCGGCCCAGCAGCAGCAGCAGCATGCGGTGGAGGTCCGCCGCCGTGTCGGTGGGCCGCCCACGATCGCCCGTGAGGACCGACAGCATTGAGCGGTACGTCTCGACCGGCACCGGAGTAGGCTCTGATCCGCCACCGGACAACGCGAACAGGATGTTGTGCGCGTCCTCCGGTGCCAGAAAGTCACGACGCATGCCGGCTGCGGTTCGTATCAAGTGGATCAGCTCTGTTATTTGGCGGAAGAAACGGCTGTCCGCAGCGGTGAGCGATGTCGGGGAGGTGACGGAGTCAGTCAGGTCAGTCATCAGCATGCGGACGAGCATCTCCAAATTGTCACCATCGGGCGCGTTGTTTACGGCTAATTCTTTGAACGAAATGTGAGGAAAGATCCCGACCTCCTGGACTGGATTCGACCGCATGGAGTATAGAAGCACGGGTATCCACTCGGCTAGGCTCGTGAGAACAGAGCCGTTTCCTGACAAGCCGTCATGATCAATGACGTACTCCAGCAGCTCATGCACCGGCACCTCGCCCCGCCGACCAGGCTGCACCAGGCTGAACGCAGCGTTTCCCATGTCCGGCCGCCGCAGCCGCTCCGCCGTCATGAGCCGCTCGAGTACGGGCAGCACGGTCGTCAGAACGTCTTGCTGACTGGTACCCGGGTACGATGTCAAAAACGTGAGAGCGCGCGGCACCAGCACCGAGCGGAGGCCGGGCCCGTCCCTGCGCAACAGCGATGTCACCAGCTCGGTGGCGTAGGTGAGGATGCCGGCGTTGGGCGCAGCGTGGTGCTGCGAGCCCAGCCGCACCACCTCCACCAACTGCGGCAGGTAGTCGCGCAGCGAGCGCGCCACATCGGCGCGCCGTTCCAACCGCAGGATGGCGTCCAATAGCGCCGGCTCCTCCCCGAGCGCGGCGAGCATGGCGCCGGGCGCGACCCGCCGCTGCTGGCTTCGCAGCAGCAGCTGCAGCAGCGGGATGACGTCACGTAGCAAGCTCGCTCGCGGCTGCCCGCCCAGCATGCGCAGCCGCATCAGAATACGCGACAGCAGGCGCCGGTCGGCGTTCGCGCCGTCCCGCTCCAGCAGCGAGCTCGCCAGCCCGCTGATGTACTGCAGAGCTTCGGGGCCGACGGGTAGGGCGTCGTCCTCAACCGTCAGCCGCAGCACCTCGATGATGCGTGGCAGGTAGTCGATGAGCCGCAGGTGGTCCTGTGCCATACGCTCCAGCAAGAGCAGGGCATTAACCAGACGCGGAGGCAGGTCACCGAGGTCCGCAGCGGTCATACCCGGCGCCGAGATCAGCGCGGAAGTGCCGCCGTGGCCGGCCGTGTCGCCCCTCATGAACGTCCTGAAGAGCCTCAGCATGTCGCGTACCGGGTCACTGCCGTCGCGGCCGAGGATCTCCACGTCGACCGTGGTGTCGGCGGTCGGTGTCTGCCGCCGCCGCTCCAGCAGCAGTAGCCGCTCCAGCAGCGCCACGACGGTGCCCAGCGCGTCCGGCCGCGGCTGGCGCGCCTGCTCTCGGAGCCGCACCAGGATCTGTGGCACCAGGATGGAGCGGTCCTCGCCGGCCGTCGCCCGCTCCAGCAGCGTCGTGGCCAGCACCACGACGTGGCTCAGCACGTCCTCGCCGGCCGGGCCGCGGTCCTCGCGCAGCGCCAGTCGCAGCGCCTCGATCAGCAGCGGCAGCGAGTCGCGCAGTGGCTGGCGCCGGCGCGCTGCCTCTTCCAGGCGTCGCAGCAGACTCAGCAGGTCAGACGGCACGTTCACCGGGCGCCGCACGGCCGGAATGGTGATGTCAAGCGTGTCCTGCGGCCGTCGCCGGCCGCTGCGCGCGTCGAGCATCTCCAGCAGCAGGACACCGTCCAGGTCGGGCAAGGTCGGGCGGTCGGCGTCGATCACGTGACTCGTCTTGTTGATCAAAGTCATCAGGACCTGCATGAACTCTGGAGAAGCATCTTGTCTGTGACCCAGTCTCTCCTCCAGCGCAATCAGCACTTGCAGGAACTCTGGAGTGAGGACTCCCTGCCTCTGTCCCAGCCTCTCCACCATCGCCACCAACACTTGCAAGAGTTCTGGAGTGACCGCATCTTGCCTTTGGCCTAGCCTTTCTAACAACGTCATCAACACATGCAGAACTTCCGGGGTGACGGTATTCTGGGTTTGACCAATCTGCTCCAACGATGTCATTAAGAATTGTATGTGCTCCAAAGAGTCAGCCTCTTTGGCTTGATCCAGCCTTTCCACTAATGTCATCAGCACTTCCACGAATTCTCGGTTGGCATTGGTTTCAGCGTGGCCTAAAAGACGAACCTTCTCAATCAGCATCTGGAGGAGGTTCGGGCTAACCACACTCCTCGCCCGACCCAGCCTCTCCACCAACGTCATCAGCACTTGCCGAAG